ATCAAAGTAAATTTCTAAATGACTCAAACATTCGTAAATAACTTTGATATCGAAATCTGTTTCTCGCGAAACTTTCTTGTACATATTCATTTTAAAAATTTTCACGCATACGTAAAAATTGAAAGTGACTCTATAACTTTATAAATGTGACTCGATAACTACTGTGAAATCGGAGGGTCATCCGACTTCTATGTACTAATTTTAATTTCAAATTGAAAAGAAGTTAAAACGCGATGTACAAGAAAACCCTGACCTGAGCTAATAAATGAAATAAACAGTGTGTACGAATTTTACACGATCGTACAGTCGTGGTCACTATGCTCGCTCAAATAATAAAAATACAACCAGTTCCCGTGTCGTTTCGGACCATTCGTCCTACGACATGATGGGAACCGGAGGAACCGTAAAGCATGCGACTCACCGATCGTTGACTTGCATCACTGCGATCGATTAACTGACTGCTTGGCTGCTTCATTGATTGATTAAATGATTGAATGATTGGCTGCTTGGCTACTTGGTTGATTGGCTGCTTTCGTCAGATTTGGATTTGACTTGCCCGTGAAGTTGGAGTGGCCTTCTGTAATCATAAAAGGAACACAATGATTAATTAACTGTGTATCGATTTGCATTTTGATTAATATGCAGAAGTACAATAACTACATTACAGAATTCGGTTATTTTGCAAATGTTTATCAATAGTAACATCGTGAAATATTGTAAAATATTTGAAAATGTATATCAAAACACTTGAGCAATTACTTAGAGAACATGTTAAAACGTTTGCAAAAATATAACGGAATACATAGGTAACCACACCCTAAAACATACTAAACATTCACAAAAATTTGTAAAACGCGTAGACAACGACACCACAAAACCCAGTAAAATATTTGAAAGATAATGGTAAAACACTTGTATATCAACACTACAAAACACACTAATATATTCGTATACACATGCACAATTATTAATTGAAACGTTTAAAAAATTCGTAAAATCACGTAGGTAATAACACCACAAAATCCAGTAAAATATTTGGAAAATAACAGTAAAACACTTGTATAAGTACACCACAAAACCCAGTAAAATATTTGAAAAATAACGGTAAAGCACACTAATATATTCGTATACACATGCACAATTATTAATTAAAACGTTTAAAAAATTCGTAAAATGACGTAGGTAATAACACCACAAAACCCAGTAAATTATTTGAAAAATAACGGTAAAACAATTGTACAACTACATTGTAAACTACACTAAGCACTTGCATAAGCATGTCAAAACACGTAGGTAACCACACCATTAAAAACTCAATAAATGTTCACAAAAATTTGTAAAAACACGTAGGTAATAACACCATAAAACCCAGTAAAATATTTAAAAAATAATTAAAAAACACTTGTATAATACTATAAAACACACTAACGTATTCGTATACACATGCACAATCATAAATTAAAACACTTTGGTAAGCACTTTGATATATGAGGAACCACACCATAAATCGTATTAATACACCCCCGTATTTAATAAAAAATATTTATTAAAGCACACTAAACAGTAGTACTAGTACACTAGGTACACTAATATATCCGTATATGCAAGCAAGAAACACACTGGTAAAATCACTGACACTTGTAGAATCACACCATAAAATTTGTTAATACACCCCCATATTTATTAAAAAATATTTGTTAAAGCACACTAAACACTAGTAGTAGCACAGTAGGTAACACAGGAACAATCACAATATCGGTAAAGTAAACCCTTGACTCGTACCGATAAGTGTTGACAGGGCCGATCCGACCTCCTCGACTTTAGAAACACGACTGAACACGTTTAACCTCTTCAAGTGTAAAAGCTATTGGTAGTTTACAGTAGCCAATTAGACATCATATAATCCACCAATAGATCAAATTCAAGTGTAAGAGTGATTGGTAATTTACAGTAGCCAATCAGCTATCATTTAATCCTCCAATAGCGGGCAATGACGTCATTCGTCCTGTATTTGTAATATCGACATTTTTTATTAAAATTTTTAATTTTTTAATTGTTTATTTAACAAATTATTATTGCAAATATTAAAATTAATTATTTTTATTAACTTTTACACGTGTATTGGTTATAACATTTTTTTTTCATTATTACATTTTTATGTGATATTTAAAGATAATTATAAATTATATATTCTTTTAAATTTTTCAGTAAATGTTCGTTAAATTACTATTGTTTGCGTTGAAATTCATGTTTCTTTTTCAATTTTTACCCGTTTTTCTGTCACATTTTTTTTATATATACGCAAACATATTCTATGTAATTTGTTCGTGTTTCATTTATGTATGCATCCTGTTTATTGTTTCAAATAACAAATATCTACCAGTATTTTGAATTTTAATTTCATTCAGTGTTCCATGATGTCAAATCGGTTCAAATATTATAATTCTGGAATCCTTCTTTACCTAAAGATGCAATTTCGGTAAAAAATCGACTGCAGGTAACTGTTATAAATTTTGATATAAGTAACATAAAATTGCATTGTGTATGCAATCTAGACTACATGTCATTCATGCCAAAAGTAAAATCACTTGAAGTTATGCACACAGATCAGTTCCTTCGTCCGTAATATGAACGGTTAAATCATGTCAAAGTAAAAGGATTACAGTACAACAAATCCTGTGTAATAATGTGTAAAACGTTATTTATTTTCGCACAACGTTTTTTTAGGAAAATAAATTAAAATGGCGACTATATCGCCAGGTCGTATTCATGGCAAAGTATCAGACGAGTAAATTACCTTATTTATCCTCTTATACCAATGTGTAGTTTCGAGTACTATTTTATGTTTTTGAATTATTTTTGGACGAAAGATGGCCATCGAGACCTGTGGACAATCGGAGAAAAACCTTGAACCATACAACTACCGTTTCCGGAAACAATTGGACGAAGGAAACCCCTAACCGATATGCCAAGTTGAACGATTATCAACAGGATTGCGCCGTTGAACGCGATGACAAGTTTCCGGGAGAGAGAAGTTCCGAGGAAACGGTCGTCGAAGAGGGCGCTGTTAGAAACACCGTACGATTTCTTGTTCGGTCTAAAATAAGCTGATGTTTTACCATTTTGATGACCGTACAATTTTTACATTTTAATTCATGCGACTATATGTCCGAGAAGGGGATCGGATCATGATAGCGTATAACTCTTTTTTATTTCTTTTTTTTATTGAAAAAAACTGAATCGTTACAGCGTTCTATTTTGATACGACTGTACGCTTGAGGGGTAAACCTCGACTGACCGCCGTCGCGTTCTCTCGGCGCTTATCGCGTTCTCTCGTCGCTTATCGCGTATAATCCGGCATGAATGAATTTACCCCGTGTTGTTCTCCTTGGGCGCGCTCTCGCTCCACAACACTGGTGCGCTCCGTCTTCGACATATATTATATCGTTTTTGAATGTTACTGATAAAATTTAATATATTTCAGTATACTACTACACACTCATTGCGCATTATACGTACCACGCAAAGTTACTGATCTCTAAATTGCAATTAGTATTGGACAGAATAGATGAATGAATTATTTGCAAGAGATCACGGAGTTTTACATTAATTTTTTACATTTCTATCAAGATAATGTGGTAGATCATAAACATTCTTTATCAAGTCATTTCTTAATATTTCTGTATTTACTTTTAAATACCAAAATTAAATATGGACCACTGTGCATTAAAATGACTAGAAAAATTAATACAACAGCTAATTAAAATATTATCAAATAGATAAAAGTAGAAATGTAAATATATGAAATGCGTAAGCAATTTTAGAAACTAAAATTAAGCTTGTACTTAATTTTTGCAAATAATTGGTAACTTTGACGACTGTAAAAATTATTTCATCATATTTGTAGCAATAACCCATAGCCATCATTCTATGCAAAATTTATTCACATAATTTTGCTTTTAGTTACACAATTATCCGGATGAAACGATTTACGTGAACGTGGTTCCGAAACACAACAACGCAGCTCTTCGCGAAAAACTACAACCATACAACGACCATCCGGAGTTCAACATGCCCGAGGCAGTACTGGCGATGCAACGATTGCAGAAGTTAAAAGAACTGCAAATGAAACGAGACATCACCGAGAGATATTACTCGCAGGAGATTAAACGATTAATAGGCGAATATTATCTTGGTGCTAAAGCAACTTCACCGTTGAGGCCACCCGACAAGTTGCAGAGCTCCAGCTTTCAACCTTATTCTGAAAATCGATTTAAAAACGTATCCAAAGTATTGCAGAAAAGAGTAAATACATTTTGGAATTTTTTACATTATTCAAACAATCATTTAAAATTATATTCTTAAATGTTTCACTTAAAATCATAAAAGTTTGTACACTTAAATAATTCATTTAAAATTATGCACCTTTTGCTTAGCTATTGGTAAAATGACTTAAATTGAACATCTAAATTTTCATGGCTATTAGAAGTACAGAAAAATATCTGACATGATCTTTTATGCTTTCAGGGCGTACAGTAGAATAAAAGATTCTGAAACCATGTAAGCCCTCTTTATTTATTTTTCCTACTTTCAATAACAGAGTTAGATGTTCAACTTAAGACACCCTGTATGTTAACTAATGTTTTTCAAAGAAAAATTATTATTGATCTTCGTTTACATTTACAAAGGACAAAACTTTGTAGAAAGAATTTATTTTTTATTATTAGCATATTATTAATTAAAACGAGTACTTAATTCAAACGTGTTTCTCAGAATTTAGAACCGTGTGGCACAATGACAACAATCACGCGACTGAACTGTGGCTGCGTGCAAGAGACAACTAGGCCAATTTTCACGACACCAAGAGGTCGCGTACAAAGGAAGAACTGTAGTCAATCGCAGAAAGAGGTGCTTTTGAAACTAACCTCGTCGAATCCTCAAGAGCGTTTCTTTTCGTCGCTGGAGGAATCGCATAAGGATAGATGTCAAGTGAAATCGAAAAAAAGAATACCCATCGATCCCCGAATGTACATGAAGGGCGGCGACCAAGAGTTCGAAGCGGAACACGCGAAAAGAAATGAGCCACAAGAATCGGAAACGATCGGTCGCGTTTCGAGGACCGTCTCTCCCCACCGGAAATTCAGCGATACCTCCGCAACTTCTATTTAAGAATCGAATTTGTAATAATTTGTACGTTCATTAAGGGCAATATATATTCGTTCATTAATGGCAGTAAATGTTCGTTTATAAATGGCAGTAAATGGTCGTTGATTATCGATACATTGATTTCGTTGTACAGTCATGAAATTATCGATCAAAGGCGATGTGAACTTCAAAGTGATCAATTTTAGAGATGAGTATAATTTGATAAATTAGTGCTGCGTGCTTAGATAACAAATTCAATTGAACTCGAATTAAAAATTACTCGAACGATGAACGATTTAAGGATTACGACCGAATCGGTGATCGCGCACATCGGTGTTTTCTGTTTGAACGCTATACTGCATTACGCTCTCTACAGAGCCGTCGTTGCCACGATCATGCTAGCGAAAAGAACATTGTCTTGGTTTTTCCGAAAAGTATTGAATCTTGGCCACACCGACGAAGCGCGGTCTCCTCTGTCATGTAACGCTTAGTCGCTGTTTTTTCGCCATGAAATTCTCGGTAAGCAAAATTTTCGTAAAAGATGTAATTTCAGAATTTTTAAGTTATTTAATTATCGATTCTAATAAAATGTTATATACAATTTATGAGGGGTAACATAAAAATTAAAGGTTGAGAAATGGGAGAGCGTGTGAAGGATAACCTACGAAAATTTGAATTAATTTCATGAAATTTCTGTCGACAGGTACTAATGTAAATTTTGGTGGTTCGTCGTAAAATTAAGAATAAAATTGCCGGTACACGATGACTACCGCGTTGAATAATTTCGTCACAAACACTCACAATGACTTCGTTTGGCCGTATCCGGTACCGCTTATTGCGAAACCTGCACAACCACCCATGAGCACGGGGATTCGATTATACATGCAAAGAATTGAACCTGAGGATTGTAAATGCGACGTTCATGGCCAACAAAGCAACGAAAATAAGTAAATTAAGATTTTTTTACTGTTGTTAATATTTGTTATTTTAACTTCTAATTAGTATTTATAAGTACATCTATAGAAATTATAATACTTATATAGTACATACAAAATGTTATATCATTTTCTTGAAATAATATATAAAATTCAATTTAAATGTACTGTATACTTTAACATAATTACTGTAGTGGTATATTTAACATAATGTAGCATACTTTAACATAAGTACTTTAATTCAAGCAAGTTAAAGTCAGTAATTAATTATAAATTAAAACACAAGTAAGATATTGTAAATATATTATAATCATATATTTGTAGGTACAAGTACTTAGCCCAGAAGGAACGGCAGATTTACGATCAATTGATGAAAGTTAATCAGAATATGAAGAATCTAGTGTCAGCCATGTTGGATAATCAGTGCGAATCGATGGATGAAACCATGAGGAGCGTTTATCAAACGGACTACTCAAGGAGAGGTTCGAAAAAATAATAACACTAAAAAGAAAAGGTTCTTTCAAATAATCGGTTTAAACGAATTTAGGATTGCCGATTGGCGAGTACAGAAAACTCATGGCTGCAGTCGATTCTTCATATTGTTCGCCGATACCGTCTGAAGTCACAGAAATAAAAAAGGGTTACAGAGATCCTACGAGATTTCGATACACCGCCATAGAGAGGCCGCATATTCAACCTGCGAAGACCATCAATCTTTCACAAGGTACAAAACTTTTTCTTGTGATTTTCAAATACAAGGACACTAAAGATTATTAATTATTTTTTACTGTGTCTTCCCCTCTTAAGTTTTTCTATCCAAAGTGCAGTACGTAATATCAACATTACGATTCTTTGCACTTTGTCAACAACGCCAAATACCTAAAAAGAAAAGTATAAAAATACATAGCAAAAATGTATTTTTAGTTCCAGAAACATTCGATATGTGGGAGACACCTTTCACTAGTCGTTCAGAATACATGGATACCATCAGTAAGATGGGCCTAAGTAACATGAAAAATCGACAACAATACTTGGAACCTTTACCTTCATCTAGAAGAAGATTCGGCGACTGTAAATTGTAGACTCGAAATCACAAATCCCAACTTTTTTAATCACCATGCCTTATGAAGTCAATTATTGAAGTCACGCAGTTACAATAAACATTTGAAACATTTTAATACTTTATTAATAAGTTTTATTTCAGTATTATTATTAGAAAAGAATATTTTATTAAGTTTCTATCTCAATGTTTGAGCTTGAATTAATGGACCATAAACAAAAGACAGGGTGCTACCATCAGTTATTTCGATAAACTTTACTAATCTATTAACCTATTTTCGAGGTACAAAATTATAAGTTTCTTTATTATTCAATATAATATTAACAAATGCAATGACAAACTCCTGCCGATTGTTCACCACAGAATACAGACGCAATTTTGTGAAACACAAATTGAAACCGGTGGATAAGTAAGAAAATGACTAAGAGGTTAAAAAGTTTATTGGAAACAGTAACATTTTCTCAGGATAATTCAAGGTGGTGGATTCGAGGAACGCATAGAGGAAGGACAAATTGACCCTCGTATAGCATCGATTCCTAGTCAACTGGATGATGCTGCTGAACAATTAGTTTACAATCACCGTCTTGATTATCTGAGATCTGTTTATCAAGTCACCTTCACTAATCCTTGTAAGTCTTAAAAGTTGTGAAATAAATAATGAATTTTTCATAACATATAACTGAGTGTAGGGTTGCCACGGTCTAAGAGACATATCGCCAAAGAAAAACCGGAAGAAAAGGATTTCGAAAATGAATTAGTTGCGTACATTCATGATCTTTATTTCGATCCTCACAATGAGAAGGTTCTTGCTCCTCCGGTGACTACGAAACGAGGTAAACCTTTCGTTCAAGTTGAAATACTTAATATTGAAAACAATCTGAATCAAGTATCCTCATGTGACACTTTGTATAATTTATACTTTAATTGAATTTTAGTATATCCTTTTTTGCTTTCGATCGAATCATTTAATATGTGTTCTTACTATGTGTGTGTTTAGTACTTGGGTACATGAGACCGTTACTACTACATGGAGGCCTTTCAATGTATCAAGATACTTTTGGTCGTACAGGAGCAAAAATAATACTACAGGAGGACGATAAAAAACGCTCGAAGCTTAAAACGGAAACGTCTAAACACAATAATACTGAAAGTTCAAAAGTAGATCCGTGTAATACTCAAAATTATGAAAATTAAACATTTATAAATACGTTTGATGTCTCAGATTTTTAGTACATATTTTTGGATATGAATAGAGCCAAAATGTTCTATAACATAAAGTTCATGAACGTTTAATTACAAAGTTATAACAAAAGTAAAAGATATTCGGATTTTAAACATCATGGCTCAACCGAAGTTGGATTTACCGCCCGGCGTTAACGTTTGCAATGCAAGCCTTGCATATTTATAGCCGCCTGGCACCAGAGAATCATTAATACGCATGCGCACATTACTACCACATATGCGCACAACACTACTACGCATGTACACAGTTCTTACAGCGCCACGTACTTTCACTTTTCAAAGTTACAGAGTCATTGCTTTACATTTAACGTTTATGAAGTTCATAGTTCAAATACAAATCAACATACACAGATACTTATTCATACACAAAAAAAATTATATGTGTTTTTTGCATTTCTCAATATTTCATAACCCTATAAACTAGAAAACACAAAAACAGAGCAGGGCAAGGGGTCAAACATTTACTGATTAATTTGTTATGTCTATTCATCTGAATCATTCACTATAAAAATTACGTTATAATTATTCAATAACTTCGAATAAATATAGAGGACTGGTTTTCTTTTAAACAAAAATGATGGTTACGCCAATGGTTAAGGAAATGAATCTTTTTATCCCCTGTACTTATAAACGATAACAAGCAAACAAACGGCTTTATTGATTATGCAAAGAAGTTAATTTGTGGATTTGAATAACTAATTTTTTAATAAATGTAAATTAGTGACTATGCCAAATGCGTTGTCATGCACACATCCCATTGGCCCGCGATGATGCCACATCCTATACATTTGTAATGACACCGCAAAGAATTACAATTATTTAACTGCATTTTATTAAGGAAATTACACATATCAGTTAATATATATTATATTTAAAACTTTATAAGTTATTGTATAATACAAAAAAAACGTAATAATTAAGTATTGAAAAACTATTAAAATATTAAATATTCAATTGCACTTGTTGTTCTCCCAAAACATCAATTGTTACTTGTCAATAGATTGTTTTGTACAGTTGCGAATATCAGGTATAAATATTTTAGATAACCTCTACTTGATGAAAAACAATTATTTTAGCTATGACTTTTCGCGAAGTCTTTTTTAACACACAACTCCGCCCTGTGCAGAAGTTATATTCAGTCAATGCATTTTTTTTATGAGACTGTATAGTCTGCTTACCGTCTGCGTCGTAAATGCAAAAAATTAAAAATGTTGCGGAATGTTATAGTGTATTTGATAACAAGTGCTATTGGTGTAATTGTAGGTATAGCAGCATTTCTCGCTTTCTTTATAGTATATAACAATCACGATGTTGGTTTTTGGTCGATCTTATCAGGTTAGTATTACTTATCGAATGACAATTATTCTATGTTCATCTTAACCGTATTATATTAAATTATTGTCATATATTATGTTGCACTGTTATTCATTAAATAATCAATAAATTTGATATATATGATATACAAAATAAATATTTTAATGTATTATGATATTTACTTATTAAATACTTTCTCCTTGGTAACCATATTTTTAAGTATAAAACACATTCTGTTAATGCAAAGCATTACTTGCACATAAAATTGTTTACAACATTTTGTGATACTTATAATAATATTAATCAGTTTTGTTTGTAAACATTTAAAATACAAAATATTTACTTATAATACAAAGTGTTATAAATTATACCACTAATTTTACAAGCAACTTGTTATTTTCCATATCACACAGGTATTTTAGCTGGGGTATGTTTTCATTTACATTGGGTTAAAGGAAATGAAACTTTAGGAAGATGGCATACCAAAGTAACATTAAGAAACTTAAATGTTGTTGGTTTTGTAAGTGCAGTTGCTGGTATTGCTGCAGTAATTTGGTATTTGTTCCTCACATTTTATTATAAAATTCGTAAGTATATAAGGCTTTCTTTAATCAGAGCTTTAATGTATTATTTAATAGCAAACTTTTTTGAAAAATGTTTAAAATATATGGAAGAATACATTAAATATTCAACATTACAGCCTTTGAACCACTTGCAGAAAGTACAGTACTTTCAGCTATTTCGTCTATGACTTCTGGACACTGGGGTATTGTCTTGATGATCTTCTCTCAGAAGTATGAACTAATTATCCAAGAAGGGTCTGCACCCATATTAGCAGAAAGTGGTGATGCCCAAGGCTTTTAAATATTAATAAATGTAAGGGTTTGATACAGATTAGTTTAAGTAAGAGTTAATGGTATAAAATAAAAATATACATGATCAATAATCAATAAATAAATATATTTTCATATAAATATAACTTAAAATCACAAACATGTAAAAATATGTTTACTTAGTTTTTATCCCTGTTCACTTCATACAATAAAATAATACTCCAGCTTTTATACTAAATAACTTGCTATATTACATTTATAAAATTTATAGAAAATACATTATAAATATAACTATTTAGATATCACAGCATTATGATTTTATAATGTGTTAAAATGCATAATGACAATATGTACATTCAAAATACATAGAAAAGCCATAAAATAAAAAGTTAGTTCCTTTTAATTTATATATATTGTTTTCTAATAAATCTGTATATCATACAGACATAGAATAAAAAATATTGTAGTAAATGAATTTTAAGCTGGAGTTAACTTATACAATGGATGAACTAATGTATAAAGGCCTACAATTGAAGATATAACACCAAACATACCTATTGTACCAGGAGTAAATTTAGTAAACCCTAATGCAGTTAATGGAATAAATAAATCACATCCATTTTTAATTGCATCCATTACAACATCTTTGTGGTTTCTCAAATGAAACAGTAACTTATACTGTTTCCATATATTAGGTGTGAGATCTGATTTTTTCATCAATACACTTTTTCCTTCACATTCAAGTATTGTAATAATTTCATAAATATCTCTTACTAGATTCATAATAATACTCATTAACCAATATTTATTGGCTGTCTTACTCCACTTTTCAATATTAACCCTTAACAATCCCACACGACCAATCCAAATAATATGATCTGCTAATAAAAAGAGAGCATTAGCAATTTTTGATAAAGTTAAAGTAACCCTTATAACTATGTCTGGATATTTCATCATTTTCAAGGCAGAGTATAAGCTATCCAAACATCTTCCAAGGCGCAATACTACAAAAAAGGTAAGATTAAAATGCTAATAATAATTTTAAACATACTGAAAATTAAATCTTAATTAAAATGAAATACATTTTCTAAACGAACTAAAGGTATATTCTAAGCTTCTTAAGATTTCTGCAGATTGTTGTGTACTATGAGCATTTTGAGCATAATACCAATAAGTGCGACTTCCATATTGCAGCAATCTGTAAAACATTATACACACACAACTGTATTTTCATGACATTACTATTAATGAAAGATCGAAGACTATTTTACTGTGTATATAAGAGCTAACAGTATAAAGCAAAGACAAGTTACATGAAACATACTAAATTTATTTTAAACAAAATTAATAACTAATTACATATTTAATAGAATCCAAAATATTTGTGAATAAATTAGTTACATACCTGATAATTTTGTCTCTACCCACAGTCTGTTCATTTAACTTTACTATTATATCCATAACTGCTTTACTTAATGTGTTGTATCAAAATGATAATAATTTGAGAAATGTATTATTCAAAATTGAACGGCCTTGGTGATATGCTTGTTTACAATTACATGTAAACAATTAACATCCACAATAAATAAAATATAATGAAGAACTTAACCTAATCGATGTAAAACACAAAACAAGTATTGTTCACTAATGATTATCATAAAATGTATAATCGAAACTGTGCGTAACATAATCACTTCTTGTTATTTTCCTTATATTAAAGTTGCAGTGATTTGGTCAAGGTACACATATGATAACCGATACAAGCTTACTCGTAAATGTCATCAGCGCCGCCAAATATGTCATTTACTATACCCGCGATTTTCAAAAATTTCAAAATTTTATATAACTTAATGTTACATCTTCATACAATTATTATTACATGATATATAATGCAATATAACGCATATATTAGAAATATAATAACCAGCACTAGATGAAATATATGACAATGAAATAATACACGAATTTCGTTAGTTAAGCATCAGAACTGTGATAAAAGATGGAGTAGTTTTATTATGATTCATGGATTTAAAAACAACATGCAAGTATGATTATGGTATAAAAGTGCAGTCAAAGTAAACTATAATATTAGATATTATATGATACAACAAATCAATGAATACATAATCTCTATCATTGTAATTGTACCTTTTAAAAGCTGAAAATCTAGTTTTCATTAATCGTAAATGAATAAGTTATGAATTAACCTAATAAAAATAAGAAATTTTAAAAACAAGAAAGGCCATAAAGTAGATGAAAATAATCGCGCACAATTGTGATATTACACGTCCTTTATGTCTAATTCCTGGCATAAGTAAAATAGTGTTCACTGCAACAACCCAATAGAATACAGATGATTCTAATATATCTATTTTATAGAAGACACAATTAGAAAAATAGATAAACATATTACCTGCAATATACGATAGAAGCAAGTTGTTGACCGTACTTCCAATCCATATACAAATGACAAGAAAAGTTATTATTGCTGCATAATACTACGATACACAAAACATATACTTTTATAATCATCTTTTATCATAAATATTATACTTAACACTTGCAATTTGCATATTAAATATATATATTTAACTTACAACATTAGGACGATCTTTTCTTGTTTGTAACATTGAAACGCGTGCATTTTGCAACCATAAAATTGTTGCATCCCAACTTTTACAAATCTCATATAATTTTTTCTCTTTCTGACCTGTCCAACTATTAACAGGATATAAAAATGATGTCATAGGTGGCACAAGATAGTCAATTAAAGCCAATAGAAGAAGTAATACAGATATCATTGTAAGTGAAGTAGGTTCCAACAGCCATATAAGACTATAAAACAGGTAAAATTTATAAACGTTTTATAATATTGCACACTAAATACATTAATGCTAAAAACAAATAATATATACAAACTTTTATAACAGAATATATTGTAAAAAAAGATAAAACACCATTACAAATAAACTAATAATTATTTTTTTAACTTGTGCCTTTGAAGATCTCTAAGAAAAATACAAAATATTTTTAACACCAAATATTATACATATGAATAAAATATATTATGTCATTTTATAAAAATTAAAATAATTAATTTACAATAATAAATAATACATGTTAAATACAATATTTTTGTATTTTCACTCACAAAAATATTGTGCTAGTAATTCCAACTATAAGACCAGGATACCAAAATCGTTCCCATAATAGAATGGAATTTAATGAGAGTATTACTTCACGCCAACATTCCATTTGACGCTTTAATTGTTTCATGTGTTTTTCCTGCAATGTTATTATATTATTAAAGAAGAAAAATAAATGCTCCTGTCATTGATTTTTTTATCATAGGAAAAAACACATTAGCACGTAACATTTTGTTCATTTAAATATTAGATGAAAAATGCTTATTCTATTATTAGTATTTAAAAAGAAAAATATACAGATGGTGTTACCCTTTCTACTCCTGTATTATCAGACATCCTGTTAATAGTTTAAAGGGTATTCAAATGCGCACTATTCAAAGTCACGGTGTCAATAATACGCCACAAACTTGAAAGTGTAAGTTATAATACAACACAGTTGTAATTTTTTTACATTATACAGCTTTATATTTTATGAAAATCAATCATTTCTTTATTTATCAACTTGGTTACTGTAATATGCCGTCAATGTCAGAGACGCCGGATACTTTTTGCTTGAAAACACATGAAATGACAGAGAATCGACCTCTACTTTCGAGATTGTTGTAACTCGCACACGATTGGCTATCAGTTCAAAATGTTGGTTATTGAAGGCAATGCTGTGCTGATGTTGTGACGTTAAAGATTTTCTAACAGTATACTTCAAACAATCTCATCTAAAGCGTGTTTAATTGAAATTTGGTTCAAAATTTAGTAAATATGGCAGCTGTAAGTTCTGTAAGTATTTAATAATACGTATTATTTTTTCTTACGAACTTTAACAGCGGTACTTCTTGTTTATGTTCTGGTTAAGGAAGCGAGTTTGTCCTTATACATCTTATTTTTTATACCCCGTATTCTGTACTATAATTTATGTTTTCAGATATCAAATGTTGAAAACTTATCTCCGCAAATTATTAGGCGTGTAGCTAAGGAAATGAGTGAATTAGCTTCACAACCACCCGAAGGTATTCGTGTTATTTTAAACGAAGAAGATGTTACTGATATTCAAGCTATCTTAGAAGGACCCTGTAAGATTAAGTCTCACGTAATTACTATTCTTGTAACATTAAAATTGTATAATATATACTATGTAAGAAGTTATACAGTTACTGAAGGATAACCTATCCACATGTCAAATATACCGGATGTTCGCGGTATTATGGACCATTTTTATAACAAATGATGAATATTTGATCACAATGAAAGAGGAAAAAGATTGACTGTATTCTGTGATCAACGTGATAGTGTCAGCCAGTTTTTCATATTTGTTACATTTTTTAAGAAACAGAGGTGATTTTCTGTTTTTCAAATGGAATGCTATATATTTTATTAAATCATAAGAAAGTGAGTGTTAAAATAGATTCAACCGTATAACATACTATGACCTTTAGGATTACAGAAGGTGAGAATTTTGTAATGTTGTATTTACTAGTGTATTATATTGTTACGGTCATATATTGCATTCTATACGACTTGCATTGAATATCTCAATGTTTATGATTTTTATTAAAGTAATATATTCTTTTTCATAACTGTATACTTTAATTATTTATGAATGAAACAGTAGAAAATATCTGTGGTGTTATGATTTCATGAAGTATTCAATCTCAGAACACAAAGCATTTAATGCCACTGTTATTATGGAAAACAAATAAACATTGAGAAGTTACAGTAAGTGCAACATATCAATAAATATATTATAGGATTATTATTTCTGTCCCTGTGAAGATCACAGTGTGTCACATAATTAAACTTATTTTGCATACACTGTTGTATAATATAAAAATTGTACACTATTTCATTAAGAAAAGAGCATGTTAATTTCTTGAAAAATATAACAAGTATAGAATACGAACTAACATCATAATGTCCATGAACACAATACAATTTTTTCCTGTTTCATTTCTTTTTTCAAATGCTTACCGTTTCGTAGAAAAATGCTCGTCCTTAATACCGCGAACACCCGGTATATGTTATGTGGACATATATGTACATATTTAGATTTTAGTCTGCCAATTATAAAAATATTATTTGAAAAATTAACTCTGAAATTATCAATATATGATAATGCAATATCACATCTTGTTTATATCTGTTCATTGATTCTTAATCCATTCTTATTCAGAATTATTGTGCAATATCAAATACTTTACAAATTTATGTATGTAATGTCTTTTGTTCAATTTTACAAAAGTTTATATATACCATTATAATGTTCATGAACTAAAGTACTAATTTTTTTAATATTAGCGGGCACACCATATGCTGGTGGTTTCTTTAGAGTAAAATTAGCTCTTGGTAAGGACTTTCCTCAAGGACCACCAAAGGCATTTTTTCTCACAAAAATTTTTCATCCAAATGTTGCAAAAAATGGTGAAATATGTGTCAATACTTTAAAAAAGGATTGGAAATCAGATCTCGGAATTAAACACATATTACTAGTAAGCTATTTATTGGTAGACAAGCATTAATGGCTTATATAATAAATATTTACTTATACTATATTTGCAGACTGTAAAGTGTCTCTTAATAGTGCCAAATGCAGAATCTGCTTTAAACGAAGAAGCTGGTAAATTACTTTTAGAAAGGTACGATGATTATTCAGAGCGAGCAAAAATGATGACAGAAATACATGCGCAGGTAAAATAATATTATAAATTTATAATATACGTACTTTTAATTTACATATACTTACTTAACCTTTAGTCATCAAAAGTCAGGATATTCTCAACATAAGATTCAATCATTCTTTAATATAAATGATCTAATTAATTTTATTGTGCTTATATTAAAATTATTATATGATCAATTTCATTATAGTAAAGATTGATTAGGTATATGTTAGTTAATTGATTACTATAAAGCTTCCAACTACAAAGGGTTAATAAATTTATTCTTCAGGGAGGTGGAAAAGGTAACAAAGCAGCTTTAGAAAGTTGTACTTCCTCTGAAGTCGGAGGACCTCTCCCAAAAAAGCATGCAGGAGATAAAAAACTATCAGCAGAAAAGAAAAAACTGTTAAAAGACAAGAAGAGAACACTCAAAAGATTATAAAAAAAATCCATATAATTTATCTATCTTTTATAATTTAAAATACTGGTGTGGTAATGTTGCCTCATATTGTACACAATTATTGCATAGTAAAAATTTATTATCTAAACTCGACTGATCTTATTATTAAGTATTTAGAAATTAATAATTCTAGAAGCATTACTAAATGACTTCCTAAGATGCAAACAAGTACAACTTTGTAGTGATCTACTTTACAATCAAGAGTGAAAAGTAATTTAACCCACTCTATGACATCTATTAGTAAATATTTTTACATATGTACAAAATAATACCTCGTGTGATTATTTAAATAAAAATAAAGAATGTTCTCCAAATAAAATTGTTGTATTTTAAGTACTTATAAATATGAAATGTAATTTTTAAAATATTTTTGTTTGTGTTTTAATAAAAGATTTTGTTATCTCTGAACAGGTATTATAACTTTAAAATCTTTTAAAAGAACTGTTTACTAAAATGTCAATGTTACTTAACTGGTTTAATGTGATTCAAATACAATTTTTCAATTAGGTAGGAAATAAAAATTATTTTACTCATAAGAACGTTGTTCTTTATTTGATAATGATTCATTAATCTTTTTGCTTCAGTCTTGTACCACTGCATTGTCATTTATATGCTGCATGAATAAAAGCGTGTACATCGTTTTTCAAACCCATTACTGCTTAGTAAAATTTCATCTCTAGTAGATGACTAGGTAACAGTATGTCACAGCCTTATTCCACTGTAAGCTATGAGCTACACATAGTGGTAATTTTTATTATTCGTGGTAAAAAAAAAAAACAATTTGTCAAAGATAATTTACAAATATATTATACTACTAAATATAGTAACTGACATGTAGTATATAATAGAGTATTCCACAATGTGTAACATATGATGATGGATATTTTAAATATATTGATATTTCATGATTCATAAAAGTCAATTAAATAGAGGGCTAGAAGCACATTCTGTATTTTGATAAACAACAACTCTTAAAGTTGAATGTTACTGTATTTTTCATCTGATAATCACACTCGCACGATAGTACATACAAATCCATACAGTCTTTACATCATAACTTTTTATTTTCTTTATGTTACGGTATCATAAAAAAATTTATGAACTCCTACAAATTATCTTTTTAAGTGTTTGTAAAATTTACATGCCAATTTCCAAAGAAACCGTCAGAAATAAAAAAAGATTGATTTAAAAGAAATTTCTTATAACATCTTGCTAATGATACAATTATACTTATTTTTATATATTCTCATGAAAATTAGGGAAACACATTGTATTGTGTTAAGTCAAATCAGAACAAAATCTTAGAAGTATAAAGGTTTGTGACGTTGTTACTTTACTTCTTTCACATAAGCCTCCAACTCGGCGTCTAATTCTTCAGCGGTAGGAGTTTTCATCGCTTGTCGACTGCCCCCTCTGCCACCGCGTCGTCCAGTCCCTCGACCTTTGATAACAAATATAAAGATATATTAATATATTCATTGTAAAGAAAAATTCATTGTATTCCAAATAATTCAATTGTATACCTCTGATGGATCCTGTTCCACGATTACCCCTAAACCGGGACTGAGGTCTCTGTGTAAAACTACTGCCGCTAAGTCTGGGGCCTCCACGGATTGATGTGACTGGTATTTCAGAGGTAGCAACTTGTATGTTCATTTCACGACCTGCCGATGTATACCACATATTGCAATAATAGATGTGAATAGTTGTGCAAATCATAATTCACAATAACTTCTTTGAAATTTGTTTTTCTTTAATTTCATCCCATGTTGGAGTATTTATGGAAGGATAAAAGAGAAAATGCTCAAACTGTATGTTGCTAGGTATAAACTGGAGACCAGATTAATAAGTGATACTGAAACCCTAAATATAGGCGGAATTTTATAATTAAAAAGAGACATTCAAAGCAAAAATTATAGTCCAAACATAAATTCAACTACACACCATCTAATGGTACTCCATTATATTGTTTCATTGCTTTAATAGCGTCTGCTCTTCTTTCAAATATAACATCCGCAGAGCCTAAAGATCGACCTGACCTGTCGTAATGTACTGCTGCTGATTTTAAGGGACCAAATTCACTAAATAATTCCTAGAAACATATAAACATACAACTATTTGTAAATTTGTACTGCAGTTACCAATGAAAGAGTGTTAATATTATTATTTTTGTAATACTATTTTTTTTAATATTTAAAACTGATTTCTTGAAAATATATATTAGCAAATATTTTTTATACTACCAACTAAATACTCATTATTCATTATGTTAGTTAAAATTTAAATCTGCACAATGTTTATATACTATTAAAATCTTTTTTAGTAATACCTGAATATCCGAATCTGATACACCAAAGTCAAGATTCGATACGAGGAGCTTGGTTGTCCCTGCACTACCTATTGCACTTCGGCCAACCTTTTTTACCCCATCAAACATGTCGTGTTTCCATGCACTGTTTACATCACCCTATACACACCAATAAAAGCTTCATTTGATATGGTATAAATTTGTATAATTAAACAATATTTTGCAGCTTAAATTATGCATAACGAATTAACATAAAAATATTTAATTATGTGGAAATTTTGTAAACATATTCACTGAAGATATCAGATAATTCCATGACATAATATAAAACTTTTACATCAGCATTCAAATCAGTTAACAATAATAAAAGTTAACTAACATAATCATTCTTAAAAGCAATATTAAACATATTATAAAAGTTCAAACTACAATAATTCTCAAAGAATTTAAATTTGAAGTCTCTAAACATATATTTTTTTTGCAGCAGGACTATTTTGACATAAACAATTCCACTTTGTAAGACTAATTTATTTAAAAATACGACCGTTAATCCTTCCATAGATTAAAGCATTTCATGCATAAGCACTTAGACGGAAGTAATACGATAGGTTCCAATATAGTCACATGTGACAGAACGAATACAACATTTGAATATTGAAAATTTTATCAAGAAACAAATGATTTCTTACCCTCGTATACGGAAGAGAATTTCTGGTAATTCCACCACGACTGCGTCCTCGCATGACGCCACCACCAACTCTTTGAGTTCTGCGTGCTCCTCTACGAGGTGAATTACCGGCACCTCTTCCACGTCTGCCACCGCCACCACGCGGTCTAGTCCCTTTATTTTGCTTGATAATGTCATCAAGACTCATTTCTATTTTATCAACCATCTTCATTTGTGCTAGCTTTCGAATAATGACACTACCACGCAAAAATCTGTAAAACCAACCTCTTTCGACTTTGTAATGATGGCGGCGAACGAAGACGAAACAAGCGCGCACGGAAACCTGGGTATAAAGACCGTAGATTACAGAAATTTCAAGAAACACAAATTGTATGCCAACGATCAGAGCGCTATCTATTTATATACTGTTAAAACTTAAATTAACCGTCTATTTTAAAATTACTAAAGATAACGGTTTTTCTTTAACTGTGAAATGCCCATATCACATGTATGCATTTGAATTCTTTTAATTTCATTGATTTTCTAAGGTCACAAATTAAAAATCTGACATTAAATAACTTCAAACAAAAATTAAGATTCTTAATATAAGATTAAGTGTCTGTTTCTTACATTTATTTTTCTTAAAGGGTATTTTGCAATTTATACTTTTGTACTTCATTTTCCATTCAAACATATTACAATATTTAAGTAAGTTTTTAATATCAAAAATAAATTGACATAAAGGTATAATTTTTCTTTAACTATATTACAATTCATCATGGTCTTCACTCTCATCACCTTGCTCAGTATCTTCATTATCTTCATAACTAAAATCCGTAGGATTGCATAGTTTTGCAGTATCTGTACACAGTTGCTTTTTAATATTGTCCTTTTTTTGGGTAAACATTGAAATTATAGAGTCTTCAAATTCTTCTACTACTCCCTCACACTAAAATATAATAAAAACTTGATAGTATTTTATGCCAAATAATATATGTTTCATATTATTTTAATTGATAAAATTTATGAATAAGATGAATATACGTACATAATATTTTAAACTTTTATTGAAATCACCGTCCTGGACAATATCAACCTTACTCATTTCAGGATTCATAGTACCAGATGGAGTCATGAGATTCAAAATTGTTAATTTACCATTTGATTTATATGTTGCTCTCACATAATCTGCCATTCTATCACAGATATTATCCAATACATCAGATATATGGACTTCAGATTGGGAAAGTGGAATCTGCAAATAGAAATAAAGATTTAAATTAGTTTTTTAAAATGAAATATATAAAAATGTTATAAAAATGAATTATTACCTTTTTGTGAATTACATTTCCCTGTGCATCTAATCTATAGTTTCCTATTTCAATTTCTCTTGAAGGATCGATTTTTGCTAATTCTGCTTCAATTTCTTTCATAGTTGCTCTACAAACTATGTATTATTAATATTAATTTACTATAATCTTGCCTGGATATATAATAAACAGTTTCATAAAATTTTACATGACCATGTACATCATTTTACTTACCCAAACATCTTACAAGCTTACTATCAATTTCTGCAGACTTGACAAAAATATTTACAAATAAAATAGGATATATCACTATTAAACTTTTCATCTGAAATATAAAAAATATTACTGAATTATATTATAGTTAATGTATAAGTCAATGTAACTGTCAGTGTTTATCTTATACTTACATTGTATTTAATTGTGAAATTAAGTAATAAGTAAACTAAATACTCAGTTGATAAATTAACAAAATTTCAATTTAATGTCTAATTCTTTTTAAAGGAAGACACGTGTATGACACGTATCCATATACAATATATTGATTATTATCAATTATCACACACTCCTGAGCAGACCATAAGCATATAAAGTATAGAACACAAATCCCGTTAAAAATGGTTGTCTTCAGTCACTTCCAATTATGGAAAGAAATGGTTGGCTTTGGGAGTATCTGTTATCTACCCCCACCATTAAAATGTATAAAATGCAATTTTTACTGCAAAACAGATTAATCGACGTATTTTCATTAGTTGCATTCATCTATGCATTTCATTTGCAATATTTAAATTTCGATTGCGAAAAACATAGAATACAAAACTTTTCCCTCAATAATTGAAATAACAATTATTTTAAATTACTTAAAACGTCAAAAGATCGATATAAGTCTGGTTCTACTTGCTTAAGTTTCAAATATTGCTGAAAGTAAAGTACTTATTGAAATAAAATAAGAATGTTTTCTTCAACCATAACGTATTTTCTTCTAAATCATCTTATAGAAAGTGTTGCAAATTATAACATGTCATATTAGTTTATTTTTTTTCTGAAAATTAAACAGTTCACAGTAAAAACAAAATCTTACAGCCTAGTAAATATATAATTTTGAAAACAATTTCTTGATGCATCCAACTTAGATGAAGCTCACTCTACACCAATACATAACATAAACATTTGTTACATAATATTTAGAATGATTTTATGCTTTCTTATTAAAATAATTTCTAGCAACTCAGTAACATTTTTTTACATAAACGTTTCATTCATTATTTTACAGTTGCAATATAAGTGTAAACATAAAAAGAATACAGTTGACAATCACTGTTTACTTACATATATGAGGATTTTAATAAAACTGTTTATAAATAAGCTCTATTTTATGCAAAATGATGTAGCATGATTCTCTAATTTAAAAAGGGTACATGGACTGTCCACTTTAAGGGGTGGCACGTGTTTACATCGAAAGCAACTACCCCCCTCACTGCACAGCCAATGAAAATATAATGTTCACACTAAAAAATGCTAATCGACATATTTCTATTAGCTGTATTCATCTATGCATTCGAATTAAATTACTTAATCTCTTTCTTTGTGTAACAAATAAAATAAAAAAAATTTATTTTTAACATTAAAGTCGTAATACTTTCTAAAACAACAATTATTTTAAATTAATAAAAATGCTCAAAAATTGCTGTAAGTTCACTTTTAATTGCTTAAGTTTCAAATAGTGCTAAAGTTAAAATATTTATAAAAAGAAAAAATAAAAGGATTGTTTTTTTCTGTTTCTTGAATAGAGATACATAATGCACATGCGCTGCATATAAAGCGCTTTATATGCAGCGCATGTGCATTATGTATCTCTATTCAAGAAACAGAAAAAAACAATCCTTTTATTTTTTCTTTTTATAAATATTTTAACTTTAGCACTATTTGAAACTTAAGCAATTAAAAGTGAACTTACAGCAATTTTTGAGCATTTTTATTAATTTAAAATAATTGTTGTTTTAGAAAGTATTACGACTTTAATGTTAAAAATAAATTTTTTTTATTTTATTTGTTACACAAAGAAAGAGATTAAGTAATTTAATTCGAATGCATAGATGAATACAGCTAATAGAAATATGTCGATTAGCATTTTTTAGTGTGAACATTATATTTTCATTGGCTGTGCAGTGAGGGGGGTAGTTGCTTTCGATGTAAACACGTGCCACCCCTTAAAGTGGACAGTCCATGTACCCTTTTTAAATTAGAGAATCATGCTACATCATTTTGCATAAAATAGAGCTTATTTATAAACAGTTTTATTAAAATCCTCATATATGTAAGTAAACAGTGATTGTCAACTGTATTCTTTTTATGTTTACACTTATATTGCAACTGTAAAATAATGAATGAAACGTTTATGTAAAAAAATGTTACTGAGTTGCTAGAAATTATTTTAATAAGAAAGCATAAAATCATTCTAAATATTATGTAACAAATGTTTATGTTATGTATTGGTGTAGAGTGAGCTTCATCTAAGTTGGATGCATCAAGAAATTGTTTTCAAAATTATATATTTACTAGGCTGTAAGATTTTGTTTTTACTGTGAACTGTTTAATTTTCAGAAAAAAAATAAACTAATATGACATGTTATAATTTGCAACACTTTCTATAAGATGATTTAGAAGAAAATACAACATAGTTATCAAAATGGAAGTGTGGTGGTTTTCTCGTGTCGTAGCTCATTATCCTTATAGCATTTTGACAACAATATTCATATTTTCTTCAACATGCTTAATTGTTCCTTTGGCTGTCAAAAAATTTCCTGATTTCTCTGACCCACAATTAGTAAGTACATATAAACTATATGCAAAAAGTATGTAAATACATTGTTTCTTATTAATTTATATTTTTTACATTTTATTAAGGGATTTGAAGCAAGAGGTACTGTATTAGCACAACGGCTTATTGCTTGGCAAAATTTATTAGAAGCAAGTAAACCAAGAGGACAACTGATTGATAATCCTTTAGAATATTATTATTATGTACAACAACGAAATCAACAGGTACTTCTATTAAGGATTAAATGTCAGTATACTATATTAATTGTGCATGTAACAAATTCTTTAAAACATTGTAGTTGTGTCTTGTCATTATTATGTTCATAAATGATATAATACTATATTTTAGAACTTACAGAATCCGGTTAATGTACAAAATCATACTTGGATGAGCCAGGGTATTATTAGAAAAAGACCTAAGAATAAAAAAAAAGGAGGAAAAAAATATCAGAAAGAAATAACTAGTAACAAACTGAAAACAAATAAGGTTGAAGGTGCAGTTAAAGATAAATGGGAAGAGTTGATAGAGTTAAAAAATAGAAAGACATTTGATATAACGAAAGATTACAAAGATGAAGATCATATTGACACAGAGAATTTCTTCTGCAACTTACCCTCTTCTGCCTATGCGCGTGTTATCATTGGTAGAAATTTTGAAGATACAAACTTATGGTCAATGGAAGGTGTATTAGCACAGTGTCATATTGATGCAGAGATTCGTTCAAATCCTTACTTTCCATCCTTATGTCAAACGCAAGGAGAATATAATAATGTACCAGAAAAATGTTGCAGAAGTTGGTCACCAGCAAATTATGTTGCGCTTTTATCTAATCGAAGTTCCTGTTTAGGAGTAACAGAAAATGATCTCAATCGTGTAGAAATTCTATTACAAAGATGCGCTTATTATTATCAAAATCGTCGTTTGACGTCAAATTGTGCAGAAGATTTGAATTGTCAAAGACATGTCCCATTTGAGTGCTATATGCATAATGCAGCTTACCATTTGCTGCATTATTTATTGGATATTGACTTTGTTTTAAATCATGTAAGTCAAGTAACTATCAGTGATAAAAAAATTATCATGAATACATAAAACATTAAATATTTAATGTTGTTATTGCAGAAACAAAATTCTCAAAATCAATTAAATTCAACTTTGAAATATGCAATGATATTTTTGCCAATAGCTGCAAGCTCTGCCACTTTAGATTTTTATAAAGAATTGAACAGTGGTGGCTTGTCTTATGGAAAGTTTGGTGTTAAAGGAATGCAATTAGGTTTAAAAGCTACATTATTTGATCGATTATTAGTAGCGGACTCGATTTTGTTACTGACTGGTTTTGCTTTTGTAACAATTTGCATATGGGCATACACTAGTTCATTAGTGGTAACTGTTGCAACAATTATCGCCGTAATTTTTAGTCTTGGCATTTCATATGCTTTTTACACTGTAATTTTACATGTAAAATTTTTCCCGTTCATGAATCTATTAGCAATTATTGTTGCTGTAGGTAAGAATTTATGAAATATGTAATTATAGTATTGCTTCTAGTAATAAAATACGGAAAATCCATAATATTATTAACTTTTAGGAATAGGCGCAGATGATGCGTTTATATATTGTAAACTTTGGGAGAAAGGCAAAGCACAAAAAATATCTAATGATGGAATGATTATTTTAGTGCAAGAAACTATGAAACATGCTATTCCCTCTATGTTTGTCACATCTTTGACTACTGCAGTAGCATTTTTTGCGTCAATTGTTAGTAACGTTACAGCTATCAATTGTTTCAGGTATAAATATACTTGGGCAAATATTAAAATAATTATAAAAAGTTACTACAAATATCTTATTAATTACAAAAATTTACAGTTTATTTTCAGGAATGACTATTATCGCTAACTTCTTCCTGATGGTTACTTGGTTGCCAGCGTGCGTAGTCGTGTCAGAACGATTTAGATTAGGTGTTTTGTCACCTGCAAATTTTATAACGCGAAAAATTATTCGGCCTTCAAGATTATTTAAGGATAGAATAACAAATAATTTTAATACTATTCTTACAAAAATAGTTATTAATTTTCGATGGTACTGGTTATTGAGTTTAAGTATTATAGCAGTGATATGTTGTATCATTGTATTTCAATATCCAGGCTTACAATTGCCCGATAGTGTCGACTTTCAATTATTCGATAGTTCTCATCCGTTTGAAAAATATGATTTAATATATTCTCGAAAATTCTGGTTTGAGAAGCACGAATCAGTACGTAAAAATATTTTAGTCCAGTCTCGTCTAAAGCAACTCTTTCAAAATTAATAAAAAGTTTGTAATTTCAGATTGATAATGGAGATGTATTACCGCTTAGATTTGTGTGGGGCATAAAACCAATTGATAATGGTAATTATCTTGATCCTGATTTAATTGGTACACCAGAATGGGACGAATCTTTTGATGTATCAGATCCAGATTCACAATTATGGCTTGAAAAGTTCTGCCTCAATTTGAGAGCTCAACCTTTTTATCGTGGGACCTTAGGACCTTTACTTCCTAACTGCTTTATAGACAGGCTACATAAATGGATGCGAAGACGTTGCGAAGATCCTATCAATCCTCGTATCAATTATATGCCATGTTGTGAAAAAAGTACGTTTCCGTATAATTCTAGTGTTTTGCGACAATGTGCTGCTGAAGCTAATGCTGAGTTATATCGTACTCCCTCATACTTGTGGGTTCGTAATGGTGTTTTCGCCGGATTAAAATTTTTAAACGAACCAAGTCTTACCCAACTACAAATATCAAATGAAACAAATCTCATACCAATGCCACTACCTAAAATTAGAGCAGTGGTAGTCGAATATGACAGTACATATAACTACAGTCTTTCCTTTTTAAGTATGGATCAATTTTTTCATGAGGTAAACATTTATAAAAATATAAAATGTAAAAAAATGTTGCACAGAATTTGTTTTTACAAATGTTTGATTTTATTAAATAATAATATTAGCCCATAATTTAACCACTGTTTAATAATAGACATGTTTAATAGAAGACACTTCTGTGCAGAAATTTTTTTATAACTTAATACGATTAAAAATTGAATTTTTTTTTTTAAAATTAATAGGTTGAAAATTGGATGCAAGATCAGTTAAAAAGTGCTCCAGAGGGAATGCGTGGCGGGTGGTTTGTTAGTAGATTGGAATTTTATGAACTGCAACGAACATTGTACGAAGGTACACTTTGGGCAATGGGAGTTTCGTTGATCCTAGCTCTCACAGTGTTAGTTTTCGTGACTTTTAATCCACTCATCAGTTTGTATGCGATTGTAACGATCGGTGCAGCGATTATAGTAACAATTGCTGGCCTAATTCTTCTTGGTTGGAAACTAAATGTTTTAGAAAGCGTTGCAGTGTCAACAGCTATAGGTACTTATCAATATATGTATAATACGATTTTCAGTAACATGTATAATGAAATTGATGTTGTTTTCAGGTTTGGCTGTAGATTTTAGTTTGCATTATGTAGTAAGTTATAGGACATGTGTTTCTAAAGAACGAGAGGACCGAGTAAAAACAGCTCTAACACAAATGGGTGGTCCAACTTTAATGGCTTGTCTTACAAGTGGTGTTGCTGGTGCTCTCATGTTACCTTCGTGTGTACTGGCATATATACAGATTGGTGTATTTTTATTACTTGTTATGGCTGTAAGCTGGATATATGCTACATTTTTTTTGTGTCCAGTATTAGCAATAATAGGTCCATCATCTCAGTTTGCCCAGTTTCAGTATCCAAGGTGAATGTTTTAATGAATAATTTTATTCTTTTATTCAAATATACATACAATCAACTTTTTTAAACAGTTTTTACTTGACTGTAATAGTTGCAGATTAAATTTGTTATGGAGTTACTTTCGTAAAAGAAAGTCTGGAAATGTGCCTGATGAAAATACAGATAATAACAGAACTAGAAGAAAGTTTAAGGGCAGAGGAATGTGGTCAGAATCTACTTTAAGTACATCTAGTACAGTATGTCAATTTCACTGTAACGAAATAGAGACTTTTACCACGAGACAACCACCGTCACCATCACTACCTCCATCTCCAACATCGGCGTTACTTCAGTAATAAAGGAAGTCAAGTAATAAAATATATTTTAAGCAGAAAATGATTACGATGTGGTATATGCTTCTGTAAATTTTGAATTGAAAAATTTACTTGTTTGTATGTAACTTGTGTCTCATATAGAGCTATGGTTATCCGCGACTAATGTGTCATTGGCTGTGTTCAAAATAGTTTAAGGTAATTATTTATACATTTATCTATTATTAACATTCATTGGGCTTCCTACGTCAGTTATGCAGACTATATGCATTATATCTATCATGATATAAGCGAGGTTTAAAGTGCCAAGTATATTGCAAATTGTTTTATATTTTACGATCTCTTTTAGATTTTACTTTTTTAGGAGGTTGTAGACTATATTCTGCGTTTGTGACACATAGTATTGATAAAGTATTATACTATTATACTTGCATTTGTATGTTTATGAATGTATTATAGCTTATTTTTTATACAATTTTTTTCTTTTTTATATTTGCTTTAATGTACACACAGGTATTTTTTACAATATGTAGATCTTTGGAATTAATTGTTCCATTCTTACTAACAATATCATTTTTATACATATATTTAAAAGTATAATTTATTTTCAGCTTTAAATATAATTTAGTATATTTTATTATATTATATTTTAATGTAAAGTTAAAGATTTCTTAAAATCAAACTCTGTAGCGAACAATTTTCGAATGCAAGAAATTCTTTTGAGTATCGATTATTTTGCTGTACAACTTTCAATTTTAAAACTTATAAAACGATGTGTGTGTATATGTGATCGTAATTAAATTTAAAAAACATAACAAAGCGTGCTGTTGTACGTAGTTTTGTTTTAAGATTATCTATATTTATATACTGTATGAAGTACATATTGAAAGAAGACTGACAGACTTTTATAATTTTCATTGGTAGATTTTCTAGATGTTTCAAAACAATTTTTTTCGGATTTGGTTGAAGTTTTATATAAAATCTTATCACTTACATACATTTCAATTATCGCTTACGTTTTAAATTCTTAATAATCCGGAATTATTTTTGAACGAACAATTTACTTTATTCCTTTTATATTATTTTACAATATATTGATCGTACTTAAAAAGCTGGTCGTTTATAAAAACTGATTTTCTTTTAAATTGTATTGTAAGTTATTTGTAGTAATAGTAAACGAAGTTCAGGCTTCACAATTCATTACTTAAAAAAAAAAGAAAGGTACAAATTGACAATTTATGTAGTACAACTTCATGCTTTCAAAGAAATAAGAATCTATGATACTGAATGAAATCGTATTAGAATTATCACTATAATATTATAATGCCTTGGCGATCTTGAATACATTTATATATGTATCTATGTATGTTACACGTATGTTATAATATAGTGAGCTTGTTATATATGTTAAATAACTATTTCGTGTTAACATGTATACTTGTTAATGTTTTATCCAGTAAAATCTGTGATAAGCACGTAAATCTATATTATGAAACAAATACATGTCATCTTCTTTACAAATGATTATATCTCCATACTCCCATTCAAAATGTTCATTCAATACCTCTAATAATTATTCTAATAATTTATATACTAATAATTATTCGGTATATTTGGTGTACAAATGATTGTATTTAAATATTTACAAGTTAGATTGAAACAGGTAGAATGAAAAATATAATTAAAACATTGGCTTTATTCATGAACTTTGCAGAGTCAAAATGTACATGTGTATATACGCATACGTTTATATAAATTATATAATGGATTAAACAACATAAAATGCTTATCATAACATAAACTAATTTTTCCATAAAATGAACAAGTAAAAATTAATTATTAAAACTAATTACTTATATATATATAACTGTATCTTTTAAAAATGTTTATTGTTGACGACGTCGTTTTAACGTTAACGGGCTTACGGGATCTGTTAACGGTCTCTTTTCAATTGGTGGTAAGTTTAATTTATAATTCCGAATAGGTTGAGCTTTGTGAACCAATTGTTTTCTTAGAAGCAGTAGTTCTTCTTTTTCTTGTTTCTTTTTAGCAGCAATTTCCTATTAATAATTTATAAACACGCGTAATGTAAATGATTTTTTATTGCAGAAACTATTGTTAATGAAATACTGCGAGAAAAAAACACTGTTACCATTTGTTTCAGTTCTTCTCTCTGTTTTTCCTTCTCTTTTATTGCTTCGTCGAAACGTTTTCTTTGCTGCGCTCGAGTTGTAGTTCGTAAAGGGGGTGTTTTCGGTCTAACTTTTGGTCTTAGAAAATGTAGCGTTAATTTCTTTTGAGCCTACATTACAAATAAAAAATATTATATATCATCAAACACAATTTAAGAAACTTTTTGCAATTACCTCGGTATTTTTTTTAACTTCCTTAGCAGGTACTGTTTTTGTCACTTTTCCATTAATATTGCCGTTTGCTTTTTGCTCATTTTTATCATTATTGTTATTGTTATGAACTAACCGAGCTTTCAAAAATTTGGGTACAGGATTTGCGCGAAATATTTTTACCTTTTTCTCTTCTTCTAACATCTGCGAATTAATCGGTTAATAAATCTTAAAGTTTAATTTATATCACATATTATACCTTGTTAATTCGCTCTTGTTTACGTTGTTCCATGTATTTGTCGCGCATCGCAAATGTAAATGGATTTACCATGGTGTTCAGTGGTTTCTTCGTTTTAGTACACTTTTCATTTTTGATCTCCACCTGAAATTTTAATCGATACAATATATCCCAAAATACATTAGCTAAAGTTCTGAAGTTTTAAAATATTGAAGTTGAAAAATTCAATATTATAAAATTTCAAAGTCCACAAAGTTAAAAACTAAAATTAACTTGCGATCCACGAGTGATGTTACCATACTTTAAGACTCCATGATTAATTGATGGCACATACCAATTTAACAGAGGAATTGTGAACCACATAATTTTCTTTGACTGTGCTATTCCCATCGTTGTATGAGCCATGTTGTATACCAGACAATGAAAAGTTATCGAAGGACCTGGATATGAAATAAATTTATATGTCTAAGAAGAAATTTAAAACAAAGATATCGATAAATTCTTACGCGATTAATGCATTCTCTTCTACAACTGTATTAGGAAGTTTTTCGTTATTCAACCTTGGATTTGGGGTGCTTACAACCACCGTTACTTTATCTAAAAGAAGAATAGAGATGTAAAATCATGGATTTTCTGATATAATTTAAGTCTCTCATATAAGAAGGATAAAATTTACTTACTAAAGAAAGAATCTCCTGTCTCTGGTAAATTGGAGAAATCAACGAACTGTGGAGACTCAATATGATCCCAGATACTCGAATGTCTACATTTATTCCGATTACCATTTGGTAATAAGTTAAAATTTCCTTTTCCCTCATGCATCATCGTACCTTGATTTCCGACATTATCCTCGCAGAAACACTACAGAACGCTTCGAACATTTAGCAACGAAAACTATCGTGTTTACATATTATGAGCTCAATGTCGAAAACTACAATTTTAAAGTAAACAAAACTCAACGCTAATACAGATAACAACCGAAAATAACGTTTGTACATTCGGATGCAATCCAAGTTGTCTTCCAAGAAGAAATGTAAGGGGAGTTGCCTCCGATTTCTAGAAATATGCTTGAAAATTTCGAAATTTTTTAATCGAAACATTTGAAAATCCACGAATTAAAAATTTTTGACGTTTCTGAAAGTTTAATAATTTAAAAATTTTGAAATTTGAAAGTTTATCAGTTTGTAATGTTATTTTAAGATTATTCCCTTTGTGTCATAAAAAGCAGTTTTTATACAGTTCTATAATTCTCAAACTAGTTTAATGTTGTAGCAACCTTTTTTATTTATTAAATATATCTGTTTTTATTTTTTTTATGATGAACTACACGAACTATTTTCTTTACTTTATCAACATTCTGAATTAAGTTTAATGATATTTTTGTTACATACTAAATATATCTATTAATCTCAAAACTTAAAGAAAAATATTATAATAATTTAAAATTAGGGTTCAAACATAGTTCGCTGAAACGAAGAATAAAGTACATATTTATTTGAAAAAGAACATGGTACATTAAATATTGTTTTAATTTTAGAATAATTCAACATTGTTCTCGATACCACGTATGAATCGCAATGCGCGATCATTGATATTTTGTACACGTGAGCATTACTATGGCTACAAGTGTCCACAACAAAGTATCATTCACCGACACTGCTGTATCGTTTAACAAATTTTACAAACAGATCTTTCGATAAGATCGATCATTGTTTCTTTCGAAAGATAAAATTGTGTCGATACGCGACCGGTCTCGTTTCGAGAAGAAACATTTTCAAAAAGCTGGACATATTGGTAGCAATATGACGATCTGTTCTACCGCATTACAACAGGGTGCATAGAACGCAAAGTCCAGAAAAGTGCGGCTGATGTGTTTCGATTGAAATTTAATTTGAAGTAACGTTTTCTATCGGACATTAAAGAAGACTTCGAGCATGCACGGATTACGGTAAAGGGCAAATATTTTTTATTTTCGAGTTTTGTGCGTGTCAAGGATTTATCAGGGTCACCGCGTGTAGGTGTGAAGGTTGTTCACCGTACATGGCAATTGATTATATTTATTAGACAACTTTTATGCACTTAAGAAACTTAAGAAATCCAGAAATGGGATAATTTGGGAATTCGAAGATAATTTAGAAATTTCAAGATACATTATAAAAGTATTGAATTTTTAAACTTCGAAATTTTTTAATGTAGAAATTTAGAAGTTTTCAGAAATTTGAAGATACATATCAATCCGTTCACAAATTTACAATTTTGAGAATTTGGAGAAACAGGGAAATTAGAAAATAGAAATGTAGACATTGTCATTTGGCATTTGATACTTCAATAATTTAAATAATTTAATTTAAGAATTAATGATAAATTAATAATAAAAGAATTAATAGTTTAATTCTCTAACAACCTAAAACCGTCGAATTTACGTTCCATTTTGCAACAACTCATGCATATTTTGATTTTTTCAGAGCTGAACATAACGTGAGCGGTCTCGGTGCGAGTCGATGGCTCGAAGCACTTTGGGAACCAGGAGCCAAATTGTATACTTTGCCAAATGGGGTTGATATGCTCGATGTAACCGGCGATGGGGATGCAAGACTCGTCTGCGTCGATTTAGGAACACTTGCTGTTAATTCTTCTAAAGTAATGCTTCTGATACCCTGAGAAAAGGGCACATACTACATTTGCCTTTGTTATAATATCTCTGCAAAACTAGAAGAGAAGAAACTAGTTTCTAGTATCTATTTTCTAGTATCTTACAGATAATGTGACCCTTATAGAATCTTCCTACAGATCCTTACAGACTCTTACCCTTTGTAAACCGAATGCAGATCCATTCTCTATCTTGCTTTACAAACTTATGTTTATAAAATAATACATGTAACATATCGTAATTACTATGTATCAGATACGAGTTTACAAAGGCGGTGATCAAGTAACAGAGCACAATATGATAAACGCCCCTTGCGGATTGGTCGGCTTTTACACCGAAAACGGAGAACCTCGATCATCCGTGTTAGGTGTGGGTGTTGGATCCAGTGTGTTCATCTTCAAAAACATGCGACCATATTTCAAGTACACTTTACCCTTCATCGACGTGCATCCGAAAGAACGCGAAGTATGAAAAGTCTTTTCGTCGTTTCATCTCGTTCACCTCATCTTTTCATTTCGTTCGATTTGCAATTAGTAAACTTGTTCACAGATTTGGCATAAAGCTGGATTAGAGGATGAACTGAACATATTGACGTTAGCCAACGAGTTGGATTTACTATTGAAGGAGCTTGGAGCGGGATTTATCTCACCGCGAACGTTGAAGTTTCTGTCTATGGACCCAAACTTGAGGCCCAGCTTCGTGGAACAGTACAAGAGAATTCCTCTTATTAAAAGTAACGCTTTGACCGCGATTTCTGTTATACGAAGAGATTCTTGGAACAATCCAGCTAGTGGTTGTCTTGTACTTGGCACGGAATTTGGAGAAGTTCTTGTTTTAGATCCTCGGTAAAAGTTCTACTTACACAATGCAGCTTAAAATCAATTAATTATCATTTTTATCTAACTGAATAATAATAATTGATATTTAATTCATACTTCAGTTTCTTTACCTAAGAATTAAATTTCTTTTAATTGAGATATACACTGTAATTATTAATGAATGATTTTCTAGTTGAAAATAATGTTTCAACAATGAGTATGGTTAACAATAGCGTATGGTTTATATTGCAGAACGTTCACCGTAATGGATAAACACTCAGTAAAATGACCCCCAGTCGCATTTGCCTGTACTGGCTTATGGACGGGCGATGGCAGGATATTAATTGTTGGAAGAGACGGTAAAATAGGTACGATACGAAGAGGAAGTCCTGTGAAACTTTGGGAACAGTTATCAGCACCTGCGGTAGCTGTTTCAACCCTTAGCAATGATGGTGTCGTGGCTGCTGTTATGGATGGTACCCTAGTTGGTTTCTCCAGGAAGGTATCATTGTTTAATTCTTGTAATTAATATTTAAACTGTGATCAAAGAGAAATTGATGAATTTCTTGTGTAGGGAATTAAACTTTGGTATGTACATGTTCCTGGGGCAATTTTGGATTTAGTCAGCTTACCAGTGCCTCAAAGTGGACTCTCTTTGCTCGCTGTGAGTACCGCTGGATACGGTATTCGTGTGTACGATGGAAAACACCATGTAGACACGCTGAAGATTATGGAACCAGTGTCTGCTATGAAGGTAATTCTCCTATTAATTGTTAAAGATAAAAGCATTTAACAAACTGATCCAATACTAATAAAAATAAAAGAATTTGTTATTAACACATAAAATATAACTTCTGTTTTTATTTTGTTAATACAGTATGGTAAAATGGGTCAAGAGGAGCGGACCATGGCGATGGTCACCGTAGGCGGTGGTCTATGCGTAAAAATTCTAAAACGAACCGCAGATTTCAGTGTACATAATACAATGACCACCTCCGCACAAAACGACGGGTCCAAATTTCTAATACCAAAGAAAACGAAGCTGTTTATGGAGCAAACAGTTCGAGAAAGATCAGAAGCAAAGAAGATCCACACTGCTTTTCAACAAGGTCTTCTTCGGTTGCGATTAACGGTAGCTAATAAAGCGTTTGAATCTCTAAACGAAAATCAGGATACGGGTCCTCATCCGATCACCATGGAGGCAACTGTTTTAGGATTGGGCCCGAATTATCAAATTCGTATCTTGCTGACGAACATATCCGACGAGTTATCCGATACGGATCTATACATTGTTTGTAGAAGCGAAAATACGGATGTGAAACCACGAGTGTTGGATGTGCCATTGTTGCCGAGCGGTGTTCCAATTCCTTTAGTCGTTAAAGCACTTTTGAAGGGCATAATATCGGGAAAGGTAGAGATCTTACTTTGCAAGAAATCGAAGGCGAAACCGGTAACTGTGACGTCGGTAATTCTACCAGCTGCAGAAGAGGATATTGAAATTTAATCACGTGTCGATTGTTGATTATATTGCTTTATTATTAAGTTATCAGTCTATAAAGATGTTATGAGTTCATGTTCTGTTAGCTAGTGATTTATCGTGTCGTAGATAAAAACATTTCAGTTTAGACAGAATAATGGAAGCTGTAGGGTGATACTTTCTGTATGTAATTTGATTACTTATTCTGCAGTTATTAGCATTTTTATTGTTCTTGAAATCATGTAAATGAAAGGTTGTTATAACTTCCCCTTTTTATACAAATTTTTCCTTCTGCAACATCTACGAATTGTACAATAATGTTTTCATTCGAGTAATATAAAAGTCGGGTCGAATATTGAATGATAAATGTTAATAAAACTCGTTATATATTTATATTATAATGTATTTTAATAAAGTGCATATATAAAATTATATGAAATAATAAGTTTATCATATATTTAGCATGTGTATTAGTAGGTCAGGACCCACATTTTATAAATGGGCACAAGGAGAAAAAAATGCCATGTCATACAGTCACTATTTGAAGCATAAATAGCTTATAGATCTTCAAGTAAACTGTTTATGTAAGCATTTTATTTGTGCAATAACTATAAAGTTATATCATCATTGACACAAATATGTTTTCTTTTCTGAAATAAAAACTCAATCAAAATAAAGATATTATCTTTTAAAAATACATTTTTATACAAGAAAATCAATTTTTAAAAAGTATTCTATGACGTATTTGACTCCTGTTTTCAAATCTTTGTAGTGGACTAACATTCTTTTGTTTATGATATTCAAAGTTTAAAATATCGCGGTGATATCTATTTCAGACTGCCGATAAAATCACCATCCCTTGTATCCACTCCACCCTTCTCTATTTGTATATGTCGTCTACTACATGGCTACAGCTGATCGAAAGAAACCCATATAAACTATCCGACTAAATACGCAAACACTGCGGTCTAGTCGCGGTTGTCAATTGTCTGTGCAAAATGTACAGTTAACACAACATCGAGATAATGATAGACAATTAATAAGCAGTGAATGGAGGCATCAGATCAAAAGAAATTTTCATTTTTTTGTGATGTCAAAAAGAATTATCATGCTTCCGATATGTTATTTTCCAAGGCGATATCTCATGATCCTCCAGTTCAACGTTCTTTTAATATTGCTTCTTTTTCCAGGTAAATTTTTAAATAAATCATTTATGCATCTCATCAATATTTCAGTAATGATATTTGTGTTTTTTTTTTTACTATAGTTTATTAGAAGTATTGATATTAATATTGTATGAGAATTATTTAAATATACGTTTTTTATAAATAATTTGTATTTGTAGCAAGGGAATGTACCATGCCAGAAGCAAGTCAAGAAGGATTATTACATTCATTCAAAAGTTATTCAGATATTGCAATGTTTCATTATACAGTTCCGAAGGAGGTGCTCAGAGCTACTTGGCAATTTGCAGCGTTTATGGATAGACAAGATTGCCCAGAAAGAAAAGTGCATATGTAAATATTTACTTTGTGGTATTTCCTTTCAAATACAGTGTGTTATGAAACAATATTTATTTTTCATATAATTTGTAGATATTTACAATGGGGCAGTTACCCTGTGATATCTGTAAATAATGATACGTTTCCTAATAATATGTATCCCAAACGTAATCATACAATAGTAGTTTCTGCAATTACAACATTTGAACCAAAAACTACTGCGATTGTACCGGTGTATGGGCCAGAAGCTGGAGATTGGTTTGTTGGAGCATATTTATCCCATTGGGATGAGAAAGTGCAACAACAGGTACATATTTACTTTTATTATAAAAATATTGTTCGGAAGTAATCTTTCATATTTTAGGGACTTGGTCATAAATGCCATTACAGTATAGGTTCTGTAGCTATTTGGACACAAACTAATAGTATTGAAAATATACCAATTGGTTACCAGTTTACATTAAAAACAAAAGGAACTACTTCATATTACAAGTAAAAAGTGTGATTATTTATATTTTATTTATCAATAGTGTCAAAAATTTCTAATATTCTAAATCTTTTTATAGAATATATATACCATCAGGAACATGGAAGTTTCGTGTACATATTTGGGGTTGTAATTTTACTGTATATACATCTCATAGTGTCCATGAAGTTTGCATTAAAAATATGGCTTTGCAAGGACGCTCTCTACCTGTTTTTAATTATTCTGAACAAAATGAAATTGGAAATTTTACTATGTTAGATTCATATGTGTTTACAGAATCTTCTCCTTATGAGGATAGTTATTACTATTTAATGATTATTTCAGATAGTATAATTAAAGTAAATGTAAAAGTTGTTACTTCAGGTAATTGTTATCAGCACTACTCTCTTAATATTATCTTTGATTTTATATTTTATTTTTGTTACATATTATTTTCAGAATGTCCAATCAGAATAACAGAAAAGTCTTTTGTAAGACAATATTTAGATGCACCTTCATTTTCTAAAGCATTAGCTCAATTGCACATGAAGGATTTAACAAAACACTTACATCATGATGAAAACAAAAGTAATAAATCATACAGTGGAGTTGATCTTGTCAAAAATGAATTTCATATGTCAGATGAAGATTTGGATGATCCATGTGTTCCAAGGTATCAACTGGCTAGAATTAAGCATTCGCAAACATTTTCTGGTGTTTATTTATTGCAGGTATGAAATGTTTAATGTATATAATTATGCATTTTTTATTGAAATATAGAAAAAATATATATTTTGTGTAGGGTAGAGAATGGTTGACTTCTTGGGTAATGTTAACTGATATACATCCAGTAATAACACAGTTTGATATCTTACCATTAGTTGATATTGGTGGTACGCTCGATATAAGTGTACATTTAGAGATGGATAAGGTAAACGATAACAGAAATTCTAGTACATAATTTTACATTTAAATCAACTGCAATTAATTTTATATTGCTTAGGTTGCAACAAGACAACTAGTTAAAGTTATACTTTGTATTCGCCGTGGACGCATTCCAGATAGATTTATGGGCAACATCGTATGTGATGATTCAAGAATGTTAATGAATTTATCTTCATTTGATAAACACGATGCAAGTTTATTAATACCGTATCCACAACCTGATACTTGGTATATTGCGTTACACGCATCATGTCATTTTAATGGGTAAGACGATACATTAAAATTATAATTAAGTCTTAATAAAAATATTTAGAAATGATATTATCAAAAAATTAGGAGACCTGTAAACTGTGAAATGGAAGAGATTTTAGTATCATTGGATATACGAACTAGACAATGCGTATTTCCTGGAAATTACCCGTGTGGTCATCACGGTGTTTGTCAAGAAGTTCATCGAGATATTCTTTATTACACAACATGTAATTGTTTCGAAGGTTCGATTTTTATTTATAAATATTTTTTACTATTTATATTTTTCTTGAAATGTGCTAACATGCTCCATTTTTACAGGATACAAAGGATGGGGATGCACTGATGCTACCAATGCCAATTCAGAGTCTTCTCTTCTTATAACAACAATGATGCTCACTTTAAGTAATGGTTTTTTCATACCTGCTATATACTTAGCTGTTAAGCGCGGATTATATACCGAAGGATTAGTGTATTTGGCAACTATGCTTTTTTCGTCTTTGTACCATGCTTGTGATCAACATGTTCTGACTTATTGTGTTGCTAAATATGAAGTACGTAAAGTGCTTGGTTTTGACAATAGTTCTGTGATTTTTCTTTAAATTACAAACAGAATATCCTTATTATGTAATGTTTTGTAGGTTTTACAATACAGCGACTTTTTTTCAAGCATATTAGCATTTTGGGTAACGCTTGTCGCGATGGCTGAAATACCTACTCGTTTTGTATCATTATGTCATATGTTTGGAGTCCTGATAATAGCTTTTGGGGTGGAATCCAATAAGACGGGCCTAACCAGTATATTGGTACCTCTAGGAATGGGCATTATGATACCAGTAAGTAACATAAGAGAATCATTTGTGGCAATATTATTTATTACTTGAAAATTTGTAGATGGGAGCATATGCTTATCGCTGTTTCAAACTGAAAAAGTGGAAAAAACCTGATCGAATATCAAAGTTGTTAGCTGGTTTAATGTTGGCAACAGTCGGTTTACTATTGTTTTCTTTAGTTGAAACGGAAGCTAATTATCAGGTATGTGCGACGGTACATAAATTTTTACGAAATAAATGAAACACTTTGCTCATAATATCTTTTCCTTTATTCTTCAGTATGTTCACAGTGCATGGCATATGATAATAGCCATTTCATTGATATTTCTTTTGCCACCATCGCGTTTGGAGCAAATTGGTTCTCCAGATACCAGCTCATTTAGCGATGATAGCGAATTGCTTGATTATAAAGATTCACCAAGTAGTCCAATTTTTACGGTAACCAGTGGGCAAGAAAATCTAGTAATTGCATCAAATTGAAAATTCTATTAAAAGTAAGTAGAACAAAAAGGAAACCAAATACGTACTATTGTTTAAGTTACTTGTGCCAAAAGAGTGTTCTAATTCTTTAAACTCTAAGTGAATGGTAGATTGCAGTATTACGATAATCAAAATTAGAAAGTGAATGTACATAATATTTATGTATAAATTTTATAATAGTTCCTAAGTAAACGTACTCAAATAATTATAGGGTAATCTATGTTGAACTTCTGAAGTTAATACAGTTTACTGTAATATAAATACTACTTAGAATTATGAAACCTAAATAAACTTACAAATGGTGCTATTCTATTCTTACTATATTATTTTTAGAAGACATTCAGCAATATTAATAGATCTATTTTTATATATTTTTTATCATTGGAATCGTATGACTAAACGATTCACTGAATAATTGGTAGTATATATTTCTTTTCTAGAATGTTATATCAATAGTACTTTCTATAGCCTAATGTTGACTTATTAAATTCTTTATTAATATTAAAATCTGTAGTCTTCTGTGCATATTGTATTGAACAGCCTATTTTGTGATCGTATTATAACTTCTTATAATATGCCTACTTATGTATTCTAACATTCGTAAATACAGATGCATTTACTCGTATTCCTATATTTGTTATATAGTACTTAATATATAATACTATTTTTCTTATTCTCTTCAGAAGCATTTTTGTATTTGTTATGTATTTAAAAATAATTATATTAATACTATTATTTGTATAGTTTATACATATATGTAATAATACAGCAGAGATTACTAATTACATAGATTACCCTATATATGTACATTGCCATAAATGGATTATATCTAATATTACTCGTTAATTGCATTTCATGTTTTATGTTATTAATATATTCCTTTTTTATAAAGTTATATATATAATATATGCCATGTGGATGTTCTGTGTAATTACTATAACTTTGGGAAATGTAAAAATGTAATGCAACATATATCTTAATAAGGTAAAGTACCAAATTATATCCATCTTTCACTTTTAGTCATATTCAGAGTTGCTTAAGGGACCACAGTATGTAAAAGGTACTAATAAACATATTAGAAAATGAAAGTATGAATGCTGTGCCTAAATACAGATAAATTATTTAAAAGTAGGAATGAAATTTTATGAATTAAATAATAATCGCAAACAATAGCAATTAGTTCAATTTACATTGTGGAAAAATATTTGGATTTTTAAATGATTTCTGAAATTTCACAGCAAATAAGAAATTAAAATTGCTAGAGATATTATGTACGTTTCAATTTGACGTTAAAAATTCCCAAAGTTGATTAGTTTTAATGCAGAAGATACACTCTATAAAGAAGTTGTAAGATTATATTTACAAATAAATCTTTCAATATTGTAATCTTATGTTCTTACTTTATGTGATATTGATTGCATTATCTTTTTTATTGACTGATCAGTTTCTAATCATTTATTTAACAGAGGATAATTTATAATTATTATTGTTAATGTTTACAAATTTTCTAATAATTTATGTACACTAATTTTTATATAGTAAATCACTAAAGTATAATATTTACTTTAGTTACTATTCAAATACCTCACAATGTGTAAAGTGCCATCTAACATTTCTCTTTCATCCTATGCCGATTATATTATAAACTTTATTTTTACACTGTTAAGAATGAAGGCAGGGTGATTGATAAGAAGGAATTCGTATAGCATAAATTTTCATCACATTATGTATGCTATATTACTTAGGAGTTTAAATGAGGAAAAAAGGTAGAACAATATTAATAACGACGTGAATTGCATTACAAGGCTGTTATAACATTCAGAACAAATATAAATAATATAAAATTTCGTAAGTAATAAATTGTAAAAAGAATAACATCCCAATATTTCCTTGGATTATCTAATGATATATATATTTGAGATTAAAACGAAAATAATATATGTAAAGTGTAAATGTTACAAATATAGTACCCCGTCCAATATTATAACAATTATTGGTCTGCATTATTTTGTGTAATGTACAGAACTGTGTGTAGGCTTCCTTTGGTTAAAAAGTTATGTACAAGTCAGTCTACTATTTCCAAATTTCCAAATTCCTAAATTTCTAAATTCTCAAATTTCTAACTCCCCAAATGTCTAAGCTCTAAATTAAAAATTTTATCTTCTGCGCCGCCATTTTCTCCATGGAAGCCTACCATACTAGTGTAATGAAATTATTTTTCATTCTCTCTTTCGATAGGAATCCACACTCTTAATTTTGTAGTGATTAACACAGATCTTCATTAGCGTGTTCCATTTTTATTGTAAATGTTAAACATCTTTCTTCTCTTGTCAATTACATCTAATATATATTCGCATTGCTGTAAGATACTCCTAAAATTATGCATGATACGTCCTGTTAGCTATACGATGTAGTAAAATTATACTTAAAAAAAGATGTTTAGCGTAATTGAATAAGATACTTTCAAATGAAGATCTATCATTTCAATAAATGCGTTTAAATAATTTCGATCATTTTACTCACTTCTCAACGCCATACTCTCCTATCCAATTCAATGCATTCGCCATTATAATATATTGACGTTTTAAATATTGGAATATACATAACAATTCTGTATTAATATCAGCTTTCTCCCTCGATTCGTCAATCGCATTGGTATAACAATACTCGATTTCGTTACTAAAAATTTTCCACACCTGTGAATTTTAAATGCATTTTGTTAAAGAAACAAGTAGATGTATGTAACATGCTAAAATTGCTAATTACTTCAATATGTTAAACCTGTATCCGTTTATTTTGCAGAAGTTCTCTCAAGCTTTCTCTTTTCTCAAATTTTCGGAAAGCAAAAATCGCCTCGATACCTTCTTCCACATTTTCAACGTCTTTGAACATATCGTTAATCAGATTTATTGTCATATTTTCTAATTGCAATATCATGCACCGAAATTTTTTAATTTTTCTGAGCCATATAGATCTCGTAACATCGAATACGATTTCACGAACCGCTATAATTTCGTTTAAACTTTCGTAAAACAAGTTTTCAATCTCTCGCCAGTAAGCTTCGTAATCGATTCCTTTAACACTTCCGATGTATCCTACTTTATTACATCTGAAATATAACAAAAATATAATCATTGAAGTGATTCATTTAATTTCATATAAATACCTTCCAAATATAATTAAAGCTTGGCAAATTTCGATAATGTCGTTGCATCTCTGTCTAAAAGCCTCAATTTTATCGAATACTTCACCATTATTTATACTCCATTTTTTAGCAGGATCAATACGAGGAATAACGTTTATCACTATCTAAAAATATTACAAGAATTAAACAATTTTCGATAGCAAAATTGTTACTGTATGTAATTGTTGTAGTACGTACATTATTGTAAATTGTTTTATACGCATCACAGCAAGATATACACTTTTCCAGATTTTCTATACCCATCTCCGGATTACTTTCTAGAATAACATCCAGCTTTATATATTCTTTACATTGATGTATTATCTGCGAACTCAATGCTTGGCAAAGAGTTCCTATCCTATTCCTAAAATATTAAACTTCAGTCATTGTTCGATCTGTTTATTTTAAATAGACTAATTGTTAAGTTCTAATTCTTACGCGATAGAATAGAACGGCGATTCAGTCCAAATGTACACTATTAAAAGCAAAGCTTCTGTTACCGAATTTTCAACGTCCTCCGGAATATTTAAATTTTTACAAAAACCATATAAGATGTTTAGGTACGTTAAATTTGACGAGGTTTCCTTCAATTTCGCGTCGACAAGCACAGTTAATTTCTCAAATTTCGTCGCTACGGGGGAACGCAAGTCTTTCAGCAGCTCAATGATAAACCGTACTTCTGGATTGAGAAGTCGAGCCTGCAATTGCTTCAAGTTTGAATCTGCAAATAATAGATTAAATACAAGAATTTTCGAATGTAAGTTAATATTGTAATGAAAATTAAAATTAATAAGAAACTAACGTTCCGAGTTGCAAAGATCTACTTCATCTTTTATAATATTAACTGTTCTTATCGACGATGTTCTTCCTGTTACTTCACGCATTTGTCTGATCCAGTGAAAAATTATTTTCTCTAATCTGCTAACCATCTTACGCTTTCTTTCATCTTCTTCCGAAATAGTCGTAGTCTGATTTTCACCCAGTATGAAATAATCGTCCTTCCTAGACGATTTCGAAAATATTTCCAAGCGTTCCTTTGGCACGTACAAAATAGTCAAACCCATCGGTTTATAAATTGTCTCGGTTAGGTGTACGATAAACTCGTGCAAGTTTAAAAACAGATCGTTTCTTAGAACTGTTTGTTATGGAAAATTATAGTTGCTATAATAAAATTGATAAAATTCAGAAATAATAGTTATAAAAAACAAATATGTAATTAATTAATCCATGATCATGTATTTCGTTAAAAGAAAATTATTAAAGTGGATACATGATGAATAATTCTCGCAGCGAAGTGCGAATGGTGCATAAACATTTTCCATAAACTTCAAAACGCAGTTTTCAAAACTTTCATTGATACTGCCGAATAAAACGGTGTTTAAAAAATTTTCTGCCGTATAAATCTGCCATGATGATCTTAAAAAGTATGTGAATCCCTTGGGAGCGTGTGTCGGGATATTTAAAACAGCTTGCAGTGTATTTCCCTCGTAGAATGTACTTAACACCAAGTGCGATGGATCCTCGAAATACTCTCGTATTATTTTGTCCGAATCTTCGCTCCATGTTGGATCGCAAAGAACGGGAATTATCATAAAATTTTTTACATAATTCACCTGTAAATATATTGGATGACTTGCAATCGTATTTTGAAATAAACAGGTTTATGCCTGTTTATTATTATTAATGTAAAACGCATTGTACTGTACAAATGTAATACTATAGTTTGAATAGTTTAATCAACAATACAAATTAGAATGTGCAAAATTATGAATATTCTGTAATTAGAATAATTGCAGTAAAAAAAGATATCTTGAACGAATGTATAAAATAGACATGAGTCATTTAAAAAATAGTGATTTCTATGCATCATTTTGAGACAGTTGAGAACTGTTTGTTGATAAAAAATGTAAATTTAACAAAAAACGTGTAGACAGTATTTGCACACGAAGTCATCAATGTGAAAAAGTTGGAAAGTGCACCTTGAAAAACGCGCCACAATTCATCTTGCAAGCGAAGTTAATTAAAATAATGATTCATCAACTGTGAGATGACCGTTTAAAGTGTTATCACTTCAACAGTATTATCTAATCATACTTGTGACTTCTGTAGTTTCCATTAATGTGAAAGCAATAAATAATTTTAATTTTCGCTACATGTATTAGTGTTAGGTTGATATGTTCTGGTATCCAGATATTTGATAAAACGTTCTGATATCCAAATATTGTATTTTTGTATCCTTTCGTGTTATCGAAATCGTGTTATTAAATACTAGAAAAATATAAAAGCATTTATAGTGCTCAATATTTATCGTAAATATTTAAATTTTAATATTACATGTACGTATCATTTTATTTTGTACTTTATTGAATTTTGCGGTTATTAAGCGCGTGTAGTAGACCTTGAGTTACCACTCTTACATAAAAATTGCATTGAGAAAATTTATACTAACTAAAGTAGTTAGTTCTTCTTCGTTGAATACTGGTTTTTCGGGTTCTAAAGAAACTTCTTCTTCGTCTTCGAGGGACTCTGGAATACAGTTAAGTATCTTGTGGTTATTAAATTTTTAAATCTAACTGGTTTTTAATAGAAATATATTTTTTGAGAAACCGCATAACTTAGGAATATATCTATTTCTAGCTTTCGAAACTTTTTACAAGTTTTGAAATTAAACAATGGATAAGAGATTAATAATATTTCAATTTTAAAAAATATTAATTCAAAAATATTTGAGAATAATTTATTCACAAATTTCAAAACTGTGCATACAATTTACCTTGCCGCCCAAAATCTTCTTCGTCGGTATCCATATCTAAATATTCTCGGTGAGGGTCTATCATTTTGTCTGATTTTTGTTCTTTCTTACCACTCATTTTTTTAATAATAATTTATTATTTTGCACAATATTATCTATTAGTTCGCAGAGTATCACCGTTCGCTTTTAATGTTTATGTTAGATCGATATGCATTAGAGTTTCCATAGCGAAATAGCAAATTTGCAAAATGGATCTTTATGACGATAATAAACATGATATCGGATGACATCAAACCTTCAACTTTTTAAATTCCTAAATTTTTAAATTCTCAAAAAAGTCCGGACTAAAATGTCAAATCTTTATTCGAATTTCGTGTGATTGGAGAAAATTTATGATCTCGCTATTTCATGGTGGAGATTATGCTATATAAATACATACTATAGCCTCTGAATGTATATGTAAACAGATTATATCCCTACAAATATTCGAACACCTGTTACATACGTATTAAATAATTTAAAGACAAATTGATGTTTTACATAAATAACAAGTAGATAAGTAACCGAAGAAGTAGTATAAAATATGTAGAGGTATTGTTTAAACCTATTGCAACTTCCTATCAAATTTTAAATATTGAAAATTTTATAGGTACAATAAACAATGTCTGCATTAAAAAAAGTATTTATTGGTTCGTTCATTCATACTAATGAACAGGGAGAATTGATTGTAGTTGATCATGGTGCAATCTTTGTTGAAAATGGAAAGGTATTAAATGAAATAAAAGAAAAAATGCAGAATATTTTTATACATTTGTTTATTTTTAGATTAGTAACATAATAATAAATTCAACACCAACTGACATTGAAGATGAAAATGTGATTGTCCTCTCCAGTAATCAGTTTCTTATACCAGGATTTATTGACTGTCATATTCATGCTGCTCAACTTCCCAATATAGGAATTGGATATGATAAAGAGCTTTTAGAATGGCTAGAAACTTACACATTTCCATTAGAAAGAAAATATACAGATGAAGATTTTGCTCAACGGGTATTTCACAAAGTTGTGGTAAGTTTAGTGTACCAGAATTTTAATATAGAAATTTAATGTACCAAAAGAATAAAATAATATGAAAAAACAATTACAGGAACAAACTATAATGCAAGGTACAACGACAGCATGTTATTTTGCATCACTTTATACGAAAGCATCTGTAATACTTGGACAACAAGTTATAAAACTAGGACAGCGTGCTCTTATTGGAAAAATAAGTATGAATGAAAATCGCAGTGATGGTTATTATGAAAATACAGAAGACTCTATAAAAAATATCAATAAATTTATAGAAGAAATTAATAAATTAAATGTAGGATACAGAATATAAAGTTGTACAATTCATATAAATTTCAACAATTGTTCTACATATGCATTTGTTGTAGAGTCCTCTTGTAAAACCAATTATAACACCAAGATTCGCACTAAGTTGTGACATGACATTAATGAAACAATTAGGAAAATTAACAAAAGAAAAAAATCTTCATGTGCAGGTATTATATGAAATCATGTTTCTATTTAAGAGTTACAAAATATTTCATGAACAGATTGTGTATTCAGTTTTCATATTGCAGAGTCATGTATCAGAGAATTTAAATGAAATAACAGCAGTAAAAAATAAATTTCCTGAATATTCTTCATACTCAGCTGTATATGATGCAGCTGGACTTCTTACTAATAAGGTATATAAAATTATTGTATACATATAATTACTTTTATTATTATACCTTATCTGGTATAAAATATTTAAAAAGTCTAATCCTTTTTTAGACAGTATTAGCTCATGGAATTTACCTCTCAGATGACGAAATTGCATTATTGAAAAAGCGAGGTACAGCAGTTATTCATTGCCCTTCATCAAATACTTGTTTGAAAAGTGGTTTCTGTGATGTTAGAAAGTTAAAAAATATAGGAGTGAAACTTGGTCTTGGAACTGGTAAGAAAACATTTTATATTTATTTAGTATGCATATATGAATAATTTATTTAACTCACTTCAATAATATATTATTAATTTATAGATGTTGCAGGAGGACAAAGTAGTAGCATTTTAGATACAATGAAATTAGCATTACATCTATCACAACTTTTGCATCTTAGTAGGAATAACTATAAGGCACTTAATTATATAGACGTATTTCATATGGCTACATTAGGAGGTGCAACTGGTATGGTTTATAAAATCAAGGGAAACATCCTTGTGATATTAGTATATTCTACCTTGTATTTTCTTTCAGCACTTGCAATGGAAAATGAAATAGGAAGTTTTGAGGTGGGTAAAAAATTCGATGCTCTTATTGTGGATACCAGTACTGGATTTTTAAATGATTTTCAAAATAATACTGTGATAGAAAAATTTGAAAAATTTATATATTCTGGAGATGATCGTAACATAATTGCAGTTTATATAAATGGATGTAAAGTTAAATGAAAATAACATATATTCTCTGCATTTACATATTTCACATTTATTTTATTTTTGATAAATAACTTTCATTTGAACTATAACATATTAATTAATCACAATTAATCTGATTCTTCAGTTGCAATATCTATAAAGAAAATTTACGTTGTGATTAATATATCACTCAAAAAAAATTTGTGACAAACATCATGGTACAAAAATATACCTGTGTGATGTTTTAAAAATGATTGTATACTTCTTGTAGCTTGTTCAAACGCTTTTTCAAAGCCAGCACTGTTATGATCCTATAAGTAAGCAAGTTAAACTACATTATACTAGTCTATGAACAACAATTAATACCAAATAATATTTACAAATAACGGGTCTCGTATATTCAATTCTCCATTTGGATCATACTTTCCAAGGAGTTCGATTTTTACTTGACTACCTTCTGGTTGCATCTGACATAGATCATAAGTAATTGCACTATCCATTCCAAGTATCCAATCAAATTTGTAAAAGTCGTCTTTCTTAATCTCAAAACATATAAACTAATATGGTTTCTGCTCTCATACTTGAAAAACATAATTAATTTACCTGTCTTGCTTTGTGAGTATAATGTGTAATGCCTCTCTTTTTAAGTACAGACATAGCTCTAGGTTCTGGGTCATTACCTACATGATACTCTAAAAGAGCAGCACTATCTACTTCCCAAAAATCACGAAGATTTAATTTTTCTAGCTGAACATTAAATACTGCTTCTGCTATTGGAGAACGACAACTATTTCCTATTTAAAGTTTAAAAACTTAAAAGATACTATGTTTGTATTTAGCCTACTTAAATATTGATTAGCATTCATTAACATACCTAAACATACCATTAATACTTTCTTTTTTTGAGGCATATTGTTAACTATTATCTTTGAAACAATGAACAATTATATTTCTTTATTTAAAGTACCAGTACTTTACAGTATTCTTTAAGGTTATGTAAAAAAACCTTGTAGAACAAAATATTTATATGTATACATATCTTCTATAGCATAGTTGTTTTACAAAATTAACAGCAATAAACTAATACGACAAAGTACGAAATAGACCACTTATGCAACGCATTTTTGCGTCATATGTTTCAAGAGATTGTACAGAATTCCGGAACTGTTTTCTTCGTAATCGATATCTTACATAAGTACATGCTTTATTGATTTCGTAAAATTTACTGTAGTATATGAACCACTATGAGTTGTAAAATGATAAGTACAAAAACTAAAACTCAGAATTGATTTTATTTTAGTAAACTAAGCAACTGTAGTGGCTCATTGATACAAGTAAAATGTTTTTCAGTCACAATATAATTGAATTTGATTTAATTGTTCTGCAGTGCTAAATTTTATGAATCTGTTTAAGCTTGTAAGATATTCAGTGCAGATAATATATTACAAATAATGATAATAAATTGCAATTTGGTGCTAACAAAAATAAAGTTCAAAAGAAAAATATGTTACCAATTTTCAAAACATCAATTGTGAAATGATTGAGCTGTTTTCACAACTGGTAATGACAGCTTCCCAAAGAATTGAAAATAAATATTTATTTTCCACATATACAGTATTTAAATAATTGTAAATTCAGTAATTATTCCTAAATTTCATTTTCGTCACAATGCTTTATCTAAAATAAAAAAATTATATTTACATATTTATATTTTACATTATAATTTTATAAAATAATGTTAATACCTGTATGCTTATCTAAAAAAGCTTTTATACTTCGCACACATTGTTCATATGCTTTATGAAATCCAGCACTGTTGCTATCCTGTAAATAAAATTTGTATAGATTTAACTTTATTCCTAGAATAAATAATTTAAATTTAGCTATTGTACCAAACAAAATATGATTTTAAATCTACAAACTACATTGTTACTTTAATATATGTAATAAGTTTGTACATAGTAAGGATCTCTTATTATAACTTCTCCTTCTGGATCATAATTCCCAAGAAGCTCAATTTTAGCAGTAGCATTATTGGGTTTCATGTCATTCAGTTCCCGAATATTACTATTGTCCATTCCAAATATCCAATCAAAATTGATAAAATCATCTTCAGTGATCTATATTAAACAAGATTTCATTAGGAATTATTAAGATATTAGTTTAAGTAATAAAAATGTACTCACTGGTCGTGCTTTATGGGAATAATTAGTGATACCCTTTTCCCTTAACGTGGACATAGCTCTATGATCTGGGCTTTTACCTGTATGGTATCCTATCAAAGCTGCGCTTTCTACTTCCCATAAGTGGTTTATGCCTAATTTATTTATTTGATCAATAAACACAGCCTCCGCTATAGGTGAACGACAAATATTGCCTATAAATCAGAAATCAAATTGGTACAACAATATTTAAAAATTCATATTTATTTAAATATTTTACAATATACCTAAACATATCATAAGTACTCTTTTCTTCTGTGCCATGTTAATTATTTTTTATAACACAATCAAAAAGACTGAGCGAATAAATAATAAGTTTGAATAACCTCTGCAATAATAATTTAAAAAAAGAAATCTCAGAATGAACGGAGTACATTTGTACCAATTACACATAATATTCCTATATACTCCCTAGGAGTTTTGATCCTTGTAGAATCATTTTGCACGTAACAGTTGGTAATTTCTGCTTATGTAAAATGGATTTGAAATATTTGGAGTACCCGCGAAATATCCGGATAGACTAAATTGTACTGAGTACTTCTCTATAAAACATTTTCCATAAAATAATTTTATATTATTTGCATTATTATCTTGTGATTATTTTCAATAATTATTATTTATACGATTATTTTGTGATCATTTTCAATAATCATACAAAATAAAAAATTACTGTGTATATATGTTTGACGTCACAAAAGTTGCAACCGCGCATACGCGTTGCTGTTGGTTACGAATCCGAATGAACAAAAACTTGTCAAATGAAAACGATTAGTATTAATTCTTCTTGAATGAAATATTGTTTTTCTTTCTTTGAAGTTGATTTCGTTTGCAAGGGTACGTCCTTTTGTCCTGTCTATACAATGTAAACTTTATATTTCTACGTGTATACTTTCGATACATTTTGTGCAAATAAAATATGGCGAAGATTCTTACACATCATGGTATAGTACATAATGATTGTGTAGTTTCTATCTTGGTACGTCTATAATATTTAAATATGTACATTACATATTTATCTTTATTCTGTTGAATTATTTGAAACGCAAGTTATTTTAAACAAGATATAGTTATCTTAAAAATGAAAAATTCAAACGTGTATTTCATTTTATCTTGAGATATACCAAATTGTATTTTATTTTTGTTCTAATTCAAATTATATATTTATATTTTTGTATATTGTAACAAAATAATTACAAAAATTTAATTTATGTTATGGATTTATTACATAAATATTTTGAATATTTGTATTTTTTATAAGTAATTTTGTTCATGAATTCAAAGCTTTGTATACCTGTCTTGCTAAGGTTATATTAACTTTAAAAAGATGAATGAAAAGTGCGCTGGTATGTATGAAATACGAGAAATAATGTTCAAAATTAATTTAGATTATAGGACCTGCAGAGTTGTGTGACAAAATTACTGAAGGATTACATCAAAGTGCAAAAGCAAGAAACTGGCATATTTCAGTACATCAGTGTGAAATTCTTACTCAAATTCTAGAATTAAATTTTAATCTTGAAGTGGATTTCATTATTTTTGCTTTTGATTGGGGAATTGCTCAATCCGTATCTGAAGTAAGTACCTAATTTATATTTAATAATTTCAATCCTTATTATCAAATATGTTTGTAAAAAATATATTATTATTTAAGGTAGAAACAAACATAGGTCTTATAGATGAATATTATATAATTTCTGGAGCTGCATGCCTAGTAAACTGTAAAGGTATCTCCAATGTTATGGGATTGAGTTGTCATATGTCAACAAAAATACGAGAAAAATATAATATTCGACTTTTGTGTGCCAATATTTTTGTAAGTTCACTTATTATATCCTCTTTTTATATTAATCATTCAATAGTTATTAGATTATATCATGTTTATTTTTATTTTTATAGAAGCCAGATGGTTCTGTTCAATTAGCTAACAGAATATTGAATTTAATAGAAAGTCTATTTGGTATAACAAGTGGGATTCCTGTTAACGGACTAGTAATACATTAATTAAAAAAATTTAACTGTACAGTTAACAATAAAATGAAAAGAACAACCAGCAAGAGTCAAGCATATGCTTCCAGTCAGGAAGATAGTGAAAATGATAGCGATGAGACTGAATGTAGTATTGGTAGTAACTCAACAGCAGGTACTCATCGTAGTGATACACCCACTCGTAGTGCTCGTTATAGAAGAAAAGGAAGACGTAGAAGTAAAACAGCAAAATATAAAACATGTATGGATAAACCTCTTTATAAATATTGCTGTAGTGTTAAGGAAGATCATGGGCAACCATTATTTGGGGTACAATTTAATCACCATTTGAAAGAAGGTGAACCATTAATATTTGCTTCTGTAGGAAGCAATCGTGTTAGTATTTATGAGTGTCCAGAAGGTGGTAATATCAGGTTACGGCAATGTTATGCAGATCCTGATCCAGAAGAAAATTTTTATACTTGTACATGGACTTATGATGATTCTGGTAAACCTTTATTAGCAGTGGCAGGATCACGTGGAGTTATAAGAATTATTAGCCCTGTAACTATGACTTGCATCAAACACTATATTGGACATGGTCATGCAATAAATGAATTAAAAATTCATCCCAAAGATGCAAACATATTACTTTCAGCATCAAAAGATCATGCTCTTAGATTATGGAATATAAAAACTGATGTATGTATAGCAATATTTGGCGGTGTTGAAGGTCATAGAGATGAGGTTTTAAGTGCAGATTTTGACATGAAAGGAGAACGTATTATTTCATGTGGTATGGATCATGCTTTAAAACTGTGGTCATTGGATAAACAAGACATGCAAGAAGCAATAAAGCAATCTTATTATTGCAATCCCAGTCGTAATGGAAGACCATTTGATTCTATACTTCAACACTTTCCGGATTTTACTACACGCGATGTTCACCGCAACTATGTTGATTGCGTGAAATGGTATGGCGATTTTATTTTAAGTAAATCCTGCGAAAATTGCATTGTATGTTGGAAACCAGGACGTCTTGAAGATACTCAGCTGCGTAATGGAGAAACAAGTGCCACAGTTTTACATAGATTTGAATTTAAAGAATGTGATATATGGTTTATACGATTTTCGATGGATTTTTGGCAGCGTACAATAGCTCTAGGAAACCAAGTGGGTAGAACATATGTGTGGGATTTAGAAGTTGATGAACCTGGACAAGCACGGTGTTATTCACTTCAGCATCCGAGATGTACTGTTCCAATACGTCAAACTAGTTTAAGTAGAGATGGTTCAGTTTTATTGTGCGTTTGCGATGATGCTACTGTATGGAGGTGGAATCGTGAACATTAACGTTTGTGTAATAAATACAAATAGTGCCTTTATATATATATATAATGTACTGTATTTACTATCTTCATATAGTGATTACTATAGGTAGTAAATTTATATTAAAATATATCTATAAGGTAACATAATTTTTATTCATAAATAATTTGAGAAAATTCAAACTTATTTATATACTTTTTTATTGTTGTAGATTTCTCTTCTTAAAAATAAGAAACGAATTTTCCATACATAAAATTGTAATTCGCAAATTTTAAGAAAAGACTAAACATAATTTTTATGTTTATATTGTATTTCACAAAATAAATTTATTTTGAAAAAAAAAAAAATTTTTAATATGTTATTTTATTGTTAATAAGAAAAAGATATTTCTATTCAATGTAAATTTAAAAAATTAATAAATTTGTGACACTGTAAAACACATCATACCACGGTTTACCTAACTGTAACTTGATATTATTTTAAATTCAAAATTTTTTCGAAGGTAGATAATAATGTAAAGAATAAATAATTCACATTAAAAAAAAATTTAATCAGAAGTAAGCAAAAAATAAGAATCTTATAATACTTATTAAATTTATATGCATATCTTATTTTATATATTGAATTATAACTTAAAATAATAATCATACATAAACAATTTTTAAGCAATTTTTATACGAATTTATTTTTGTTTAGCTTTTTAAGTTTAAAAATATTTTAAGTTACACATATGCTTTGATTGTAGTAGTAGAAAATCAAGATAAATAGTAATAATACGTTTTCAAATTTTATATAATACATGTACATACATACTAGTACCAATGTTTTGTAAATTAATAATTCCGACGATGCGTAAAGTTCTATAGCTCTTAATTGAAAAAGTTATTAACAAAAAACTGTTTAATTATATTGCAGATCTCAGATGATCAATATACATAATTGTACTATCAATATTTCGGAAGCTTTTACATATATTGGCAATATACTAATTATAAATTTGGGAACATGATGTTAATGTTTCTTGACAATACATTAATTATGAATACTCTGAAATATTGATAATGTACACTAATCACCTGAAGTCTTCATACCAGTTTGAAAACGTTATGACAATTAGTTGTAAAAATATATAATAAAAGAAATAAATGGTGGTCTTTGATGACCTTTACGTGGTTACCTAAGATCAGAATGGCATCATCAAACAAAACTGACTGAGTATTTTTTATTTTATACAAAATATGTAGTTGTTAAAAAATTGAATTTTTGAAAATTTTAACTATAATGTTTTATAGAAGATTTAATAAATAAATACCAATATATAATTCAAATATAAATGTAATATGTATTATAAACAAGAAACTTTGATTTTTATGCATAATTGCTTAATAATGAATCAACAACAACTGCACTTCTTTTTGCTTCTGTAGAATCTTTCTCTTCACCTTGTCGTTGTATGTCCTGTTGCCCTCTGATTTTGATATTATGCTTTTCTTTAAATTCATTTATTTCAATTCCTTTTTTCATTAGTTGATCATTTAAAACATCTATTACTATAGTTAACTACAAATCAAAAAATATTTTATTTTTAACACATAATTAAATAACTTTTTTAATTGTCAATTTTGTATGTATTTATAAAATACATCTTACCCGTTCTTTATTTGTTACCAATGCAGGCATCACGTCTTCTACAGTACGTTCACATAAAACACCTCCTGTCATTCTGTAGCACTTTCTTTTGGGATCTATATTCTTTAATGTATCAATTACAATCCTAAAAAGTTCAATCATTAAAGTTGTAAATACTCATTGCTTTAAGATCTATATATAATTAATTAGGATATTATTTCGTCTTTGATAAATTAATTATAATAAAAATTGTAATATTATTTTATTGTTTAAAAATTCTGAACAACTTATGTACTATCTTCATATAATATTTAAAAAATACAGATTTATAACAATCTTTAAAAGGAGATATAGGTTAGAAAACATACTTATGTTCGTTCAATTCCATTTCAATTTCTGACAATTTATTAGCCATTGTCCTTTGCTCATTGCGAAGCATTTGAAATTCAGATAATATTTCTGCATTGGACTTCGTACCTTTTGAAGATTTTCCTGTCTTTTTATCGCTAGCCATATTAGGAGCTTTGTATTGCTTTCTTCTTCATGCGTAAGACTCACCGAACCTCCTTGTACAGAAAGTCCCTATTTAAAATCGATTTAGAATGGAGAAAGACTATATTATTTAAAAAAGAAAACTTGTTAGAAATAATATGTGCCGCATATTAGAGATATATTACTTCACTATATTCTTTGAATTATTATTTTATAATTTCTTTATTTTATGTTATAATATTTATATATTCTATAAATTGTAAACAAATATTAAATTAATGTTTTATGAATATTATATACAAATTAGAATATAAGAAATTCTTCCCGAATTAATTTTTAATTGAATTTTTTCGTGTACAATTTTATTTAAAACAAAATTTGTAAAACATTTACTACAACGGGTATATATAGGAAATAAACATTTTATTTTCGATCTTTCACATATTGTTATAAATATATGTCTTACATTTAAATATTTCTTCATAAAACAATTTGAGATTTATAAATAAAATTTGAAGTAATAAGTTTTTTATTTATTTTTGCGTAGCATTTTTATGACATTAGACTTCTATTTTGTGCGTGCTTTTTTTTACAAAATATAGCTGTCTTATCAAATTAAGTTTTTCACGTATTATATTTCACATAGAACAGAGTAAAAATGTAAAACATAATGTCAAAAAATTTAATATGTACTCTACAGTCAACTTATATTCCAATTATTATAACACATATAATATAACACATCCATCACACTCACACATAAATAAAAAAAAAGTTTATGGATAAGGCTACCCACAAGAATATCGCATACTTACAAAATTATAAAATTGGGAATACTTTTGTCTTAGACACAAATATTCTTAACTTACTACAACATTAAATAATACAATGTATAGGTAGAGGCAAGTGATATACGTTTTTTTGCTACTTAAACTGTGATATGTTAAACATTTGTTAGGCATGTATACATTTGCATTCATTATATTAAATTACCTCTTTTTAATATCCAAATGTTAATATCAAATAATACAAAAAAAATACTGCAATATAACAACCTTTTCTTGTAACAAGTTTTGTTATTATGCCAATCAGCACATTATACATTCATAAAATTGTATATAGCATATATATCATATATACATATTTCAACTTGAATGCAAAGAATTATGCTTATTTACTGTACATATATCTCAATAGCATGTACAATTAAATGCAATATAATATTATCAGCCTTTCAGAATAAAAATGTGTTGTAAAACACCAGTACAAAACTTTAGTATAAAATTGAAAATTAATATAGTAAAAATGGTTATATTAAATAATACCAGGACATATAGCATTTTAAACATATAACATAAAATATTATAAAATTGTATAAATGCATATAAAAATGTATTATTGTTCAGTGCTAAATGTGAGTAAATCAATAATTAATTATTTAAAATAAAAAATAGAGTATTAAATCACATATTACTTTAAATGAAATATTCTGTCAACATAATGTTTACAATTAATTATCTACTCTCTGTGAAATATAAAGTTATGAATTTAAATATAATTTTCATGCATATATAAATCCATAATTGCATGTGGTATGTAAATTGAACAGTATATCATCGAAATATGCTATAAAAATTTACTATTTTCTTATTCAGAATGTTTCATTTCTATTCTTTTTTATTTGTTATTGTTGTCAGAACAATTATTGCAACGATGCAATTAAATAAAACATATACAACTAACCTTATACATAGATACTACGTAATTAAGTAGCAAATAATATACTAATATGGAATCTTTAAATAAAGATTAGCACTTAATACTTTACATCTTTTAAGTAGTAAGTTTGAATTCTTTAAACAATCTCGTTTAAGCGGTCCTTGTTTTATTTGATTTTTGTTTAGTAATGTACTAATTGATGGAATAAGTAATCATTAAAGATGAAGTTATAAGTGATCTAAACATGTAAACAGAAATTAAATAATTTCACTAAGGAGAACATTTTGTACAGAGATACTTATATCGTTTTTAAAGATATTGAGCTAAACAATAAATACAAAAAACCACAGATGCGAAAATATACGATTTCGGATTGGATTATTTGGGATTGCATGAAATAAACGACACATATGGAAAACAGTTATTCAAGGAATGGTAGATCGAGATTTCACTGTATTACATTAAAACGTATCTTACTCTTCACGAAACTTTTTCCATTACAAAATATACTTTAGAAAACCTTTATCACTTTTATGAGTATTATATTCTGCATGCTTTAGTGTCATTTGCTTGCTATAATTATATTTAATTCACGATACTTATAGATACACTATTACGATGTTTTGTCAAATATATACAGTAAAAAAGTTATTGATATTTAGTAACTTTTGTATTCATTAAGAATACAAATATGAGGTTGTAAATTATCCTTTAACCCCCCGTTTTTTAAAATAAAAAAGCTGAGCTATTTGATTTAAGTTACTAGACCGACGTTTCGGAATTTAATCTTAACAAAAATTTATTAGATTTAGGATGTGCGAGTTGTTCGGTGAGATGAAAATGGGGTAAATGATATACTGTACATAAAAGCGCTACTTCACCTTGCCTTAATTGAAATTCGCAACCGTTAGCAAGTGATCGTGAAGGTAATTCTCCCTCGCAGACTAAAGCCCAATGGTGCGATCGTTTTTGTCTCTCTTTCTCATTTGATAAAACAGGACTGGTTACGAAAAAAGGTTCCAAAAATGCACGTGGTGCTGCATCTTGAGCCAAACATCGGGCAAGTCTATTTAGAATAGACTCAACGGAATGACGTGGTTGCTGTCGTGTAACCCTTAAATACTTTTGCAGTGCTCTTGCCATAGATGGAAATACTGCTTGTGCGGCCTCCATAGGATCCATAGGTCCTGCATTTGGAGTTGACTCCACTTCTGAATGTAAACGTTTAATATGTGCAAATGCTTCTTCAGCGGCAGTGATTAGCCTAGCTCTACGCTTTCTTACTCTACGTTCATAATCATGTTCTTCATAAAATCGTTCATTATGGCTAGAATCTCTACGTCGAGTTTGAGTTGTTATCACTGCTCTGTCTCCGCTACCACCTCGTGATTGAACACCACTGGTTACTCCTCCATCAACTTCATAAAATTTGAAGCTTGATTGTTTTCTACCAGATTTTGATACCGGCAGTCTTTCCAAGTATGGATTATAAATAGGAAATTCTGTATAATATCTTTCTAGTACCCATACTGCTGCTCGTTGTATTGATAATTGTCCAATTGCATAAGATCGTGATTCACCATCTGGTGATCTTACAATCTGAAATATTAATTTTAACATTAATATGCTAATACTCTGTAAATATAAGAGAAAGAAACCTATTTTAAAATAAGTACACTTACTTTAAGATAAAACATAGGCTGCTGATGTCGGATTTCAATTAGTAATATAGCAACATAATGAATAAACAAAAGAGTATCAGCAAGGGTTCCTGCATAATTTACTAAATTTTTGTACTCTGTTATTTCACCATTAGCAGCTGTCTTAGCACTCTCAGTAACCTAGAAATTAAAATAAATATGTGCAATTATATGTACATTAACACATTCATAGTCCATTCACCCATGTACAAGTTAACATATTCTCTGCTTATACATATAAGTGAAGACTTATGAATAGAGAATACACTTAACATTTGGACTGTGAAAATGTTAAGTATAAACTTCAAAATATTTAATGGAAATATATACCTGAACAATATAAAATAGCCAATAAGTACAAATACATAACGTAGTAAGAAGCAACACTCCTGCTCTAAATAAGAATATACGTGGCATAGTAGCATTTCTTGAACGTAAAAACACAGCCCAGCTTCCAATACCTAATAGCACCAACTTGAAGGCTAGCCCTAACAACTGGCCTTTACATTCAGCATTACATGATAATAATTGCAGTTTTTGTTGCATTGGCAAAACATTTGTAGAATTAGGAAAAAATCCAAGTTTAGGCAGTATAACCATAGTTATAGGGCTGAGAAAAGCACTCAACCCAAGAATCATTGTTATAATAGGTCCCATAAATCGATTACATGAATTGAATGATCCATCATTATCGCTTGGCCAATGGCTAACATCTTCAGTTGACTCCGATCTATCAGATGTATTTCCAGTAACAGCTGTAGTATTTTCACCCCAGTTTTCATCCTGAGGTAGAATTTGAACTTCTATAACTTCTTGACCTAAATTATCAACACTATCACCTCTAACATTAACAGTTGTTTGAAACGGTGCCATTTCAGTGGAATCTAAATTATGTCTCTCTTTCTTTTGACTGCGATTGGTCCTTCGAAAAAATATTTATATTACCAAAAAGACATTAATTAAATCATGTAGTTTTGTAGTTTTTAAAATACCTGGTACTTCGATGTGAGTGTTGTCTATGATGAGATTTAGAACTGTGAGTACGATGATGTTTTTGTGAAGTTCTGCTGTGATGGCTATGGCTATGCTCGCTAGCCCCCGACTTTACGCTCTCCGTCTCCATTCCCCGACAAAGGCTACCTCCCTCCTGTTACCCCATAAGAACATACCTTCTTCCACTGATAACTAAACACCACGCACATGTATGTATTTACATTTATATGTAATTTATCTCAATCATAAAATTGAAATTATAATGGTATAAAATGGTGCGTTGAAATCACAGAATCTTACGGGCATTCTCCATGTATGAAAACTTTTGCACCTCCAACATGTTAGGGTAGGAAGTACATTTTTTAAAACATTGAATTTATATGATATAAAAATGGCGTAATAAAAAATTTATTTAATACAATTTTCTTTAAAGCATAAAAAGATAGACGCCGACACGCCTAAAGTTTATATTATTCTCACCCTCTTGTTACCACATTCCGGAATAATCGTTAGGGAAAAAACAACATGATTTTCTAGGGACATATAATCGTTAGAGAACTTGATTTCTGAAGTTAGGGAAAATACATAATTTCCTAGAGATATTCACGCAAAAAAAGAAAATATTTATTTATATAATTTCTTGTAAAAACATTTTCTATATATAGCATGAAAGATGTAGACCTATACATTATTTAACGATAAACTATAATTATTTTGTGTCACTGGACTACCAAGATTTATGTTTCTTTCCTATTGGCTCTTATATCCTAGATCTATAATTTCTACCCAGATGAGGTAAATTGAAGTAGTTGGTCACAATGAATTACTATTAGGGATTTTATTAGCACAAAAACAAACTGCTTCTATCCTTTCCAGCGCATAACGTTGTTGCTGAAGCACGTGGCAAAGAGTGTAATTGTTGAATTTAAAGCAAAATACAAGTGTAATCACGTAAGTAAACGTTCATAATTGAATATTAAATAATGTGTTTCATCGGTATAATGAAAAAACTTATCTGCATTCTGTAAAATTTTGTTATTCGGCATCTTCTCGCACTGCATACGACAGTACATCAAAAACGCACAGTACAAATTCTTTAAAACTGTAGTAGATATGTATGTAACTGTTTTGATATAGTTTTCCTAACGTTAAGAATAAATGTAGTTATATGGTATACGATATTGTTTAGTTACCAAATATTAAATGTAATAATGAAGGTGTGGATAGACATTTCTGGAACATGTTTGTGTGAAGTATAGAACTTGTCATCTGTTGCCTAAACTTGTGCAAATTTCTGTATAGGAAGTTTTTCACCTTAAATTAAGATTAATGTTGTAATTGACGTACAAGTATTGCAAATTACAAATTTATATGTCATTATTAATTATATTTATTGTATTATAATGTCTCTACTTTTAAATTAAAAGCATTAATCATACATGTGCTTTGCATAATATTATGAAAACAAGTGAAAGATACTGACATGTATAATTTTGTATATATATTATTTTATTAGTGTTTCTTTTTCTTTTTTATTATAGAATGCCTCTTGCAAAAGATCTTCTTCATCCAAGTCCAGCTGAGGAGAAAAGAAAACATAAGCTAAAAAGGCTGGTACAAAAGCCAAACAGCTATTTCATGGATGTTAAATGTCCTGGATGCTATGCCATCAAAACGATATTTTCACATGCACAGAGATCAGTAGAATGTGACGGTTGTCGTACAATATTGTGCACATCTACAGGTGGCAAAGCTCGGTTAACAGAAGGTTGCTCTTTTAGAAGAAAGGTTCAATGTTAATGTAACAATAACTAAAACGATATGATGTGTACACATTTCTCTTTATATTAAACAAATAAAAATTATTATATAACCATATCTTTATTATGTTTTATTCATATTTTCATATATGTAACTTCCAAACAGTTATTTTCAGCCCTTGTCTTTAGATTTTAATGATAAGAATTTAGCAGTGTAAACTGTTGAAGTATTGGGAACATTTATGTATAGGACACAGTTAATTAAACATTGAATCCTGTATCAGTATTAACTCTATTATGAATTGTGTTTCTGCATCATATGTGAAAAAAATATATTGAACACACAAATACATCCTTAATATATCTTTATTTTGATTTACATCTATTTTATGATAAATTTAATGATATATTAAATTTACCATAAGTTATAATAAAATATAAACAAATGTTTAATTAGATAAGTTATATGCACAGTACATAAATAACTTATATAAACAAATAGATTATGATCATGAAATATAATATTACACAATTCCAATATTAAATAATTGTTTAAGAATGTAGAATTGCATTATAAGCTTGGAATATACCCGGTGCGACTTCCACAGAGCGTGACTTCAACGATAACTGCAATTAAAATGCATTGAAAATGAAATCCATTATATAGGTTTTATTATCAAATTAAAATTTTTAAATAATTTGAATGTATACACGAACTTACAATGACATCAGCATCTACATTTGGAAATTTCAATTCATTTAATACCCAAACGTTATTTGTTAATTTAAGAGATTGATATAGCATATCTTGTCCTTCGACATTTCTTCTAGCAATTGTAAATACATTATTTTGCTGCATTTTTTGTACAATTTGATCTACAGTCAATATTACTCTTTTCAATGTATATTGCACCTGGAATATTTGTTTTAATAATCCAATTATTTGAAATGTTGTTAGGTACATTAAATACTAATGCGAAATAAAAAGAGCAAACCTCATTCTGAGCAGGTATATCTTTCCATGTACTAAGAAATACTCTTTTATCTAATTGTCCATCTTCTGCAAAGTATACATTCATGGGAACGATACAAGCAAAATAAAATACATCGATATTATTTTTTATCGCAACTTGAAGATTGTTTAACGGTTCCATGCGTTGTACTGCACCACCGGTAGATAAGATTACACTTGTTTCTATACTAGCACCAGGATTTAATGGGCTTGGTACTTGTAATGGAGCAGCTGGTGTTAAACCAAAACTATTCTTATTTAATTGTATTGCAAAACCTCCCATAGGTTGCATTGCTTTATTCGTAAATGTCATATCCATACTAATCTGTCCATTCCTATTATAAAATAATTATTATGTTTAAATATACATACATTTATTTAATATATAATAGTATGATTGGTGAATCAAATATAAATATAATTGTAAAATTCATTAAAAGCAAAATGCAGATACATTTTGAAGAGTGAAAAGAAAATGATGGAAATTTTAAAACAGAATGCTACTCAGTATGATTTCATTCTAATATTCTAATCAATTTCGATACTAACTTTCATTTAGTATCCATCTGGATTTGCAACTATTTTTATACATTTTTCACCAATTATACAGGTATTTATGTTACTTACTTTCGTGAAAATGTTCCCCAAATGTCAAATCCTTTACCTTTTTCGGCAGGTAACCAATTAACTTTTGGTGGTACATAAGAAGTAGGACCTTGATTAAAACCGAATATATCACCAAGAAGTCCAGTAGTACTTTGTGACACGACAGGTGCACTGCCTGCAGTATCAGTTCCTCCTAAAACTCCATCCAAAACACCTCCTAGTAAGTCCAAACCTAATCCTGCTTGAGGAGCTGGCGTTGGGGTAACCATAGCTGGTCCACCTACACATTAATCAACATACATTAACATTTGCTTTTTGATTACGTACAATTTGAGACGGTGATCGACGATAACATTCGTGACAATCAACATGTTGAAAAACAATATAAATATTATTTACCAATATCCATGCTAAGAAGATCGCCGATCAAAGAATCCTGAGCGGGAATAACTTGAGCGTGAGGTTGCGCTGCATGTTGACTCGATTCCTCATTTGAGTTACTTCTGGCAGGCAGCGATTTTCTAGTACCCGCTGCTTTACCTTCGACGAAAGCAGTAGGTGGTTTATGATATACAGACGCCAAACTTGAAATATGACATATCAATTCATCTAAAAGAGTTGGTTCTAACAGATCTGTTTCTTCTGAAATAAGAGGTTTCTCGGCAAGTACAACTTCTTTAGCAGCTGCTGGATCAGTACTAAGTAATCGCCAGTAGATAAATCCTCTGTCCCTTAAGTCAGGGTTATCAGAATCTTGCGTCGCTAAACTAAGCACTTGTTGAACCAATTCTTGAGTATCTGTAGGTCTTTTAAGAAACAGTTTGACAATTGCTGTGAGTAATTGCAACTGGACTTGAGTATTTTCATCATGGAATCCTTCCAAGAAACTTTCAAGTAATTCGTCTGCATTATCGATACGTTCAGCATATTCCCCAATAATCCATATCATTGAAGCACGTGCTTCAGGTTCATCAAGAGTATCCAAGTTTTCACAAAGGGTTGAAATAATACTTTCATATTTGTTTGGATATTTTCGGAAAATATCTTTTATAACCACAATTGCTTCTTGAACAACGTAATTAACCTAATATAATAGACAAGTAAATATATTGTTCATATAAACAATGATTCTTGACCTTCATCTTACAATACCTTTGTCTGTATCAGATCCAGGAGTGTCGAAACACAACGTTCGGCAGAAGGCTCGACCTTAATAGCACAACGACCAATAGCTCTTACAGCTTTCCGTACAAAATCTACATCAACTTCTGTAGCATATTCTTTTAATTCTGACAAAACTTGAGCTATATTAGCTTGAGATGCTAAACGAATCATGATGTCCAATTTCTCGAGTTTCACATAAATAGGGTCATTATACTTGACGAAAAATACTTTCATTTCATGTTTTAAAATATCAGGACGTTTTTGAACAATTAGATTTATATTTCGTAATGCTACATATTGAACTTCAGGTTCAGAACTGAGTAATGTTACAAGCGGTGGGGCTAATTTCTTTGTCAATGTGCCAACAAAATCGGATTCCGATTGTAACATTTCCATTAATTTCATCAATACCTATGTATGAAAAAATAATATTTTAAAAAATTTAATTAATTAATTATTTACAGTTACAAATATAACTATTAATTCCTCCTTGGATACCCAACCTTAACAGCAGATAGTACAACTGCAGCATTAGCGTGAGCTAGACGTGGAGTAATACGTTCGCAAATACTTTGCGCTTCGCGATCATCTTTAGGTGAATAATTTGCAAGTGAATCTAAAATAAAAACTTGACCCCATTCTGTACATTCGTTGAGAGCAGTTAACAATTTGTTAATAGTTTGTGCATTCATTTCAACTAAAGGCTGTCCGCTTGGACTTGCTTCATTAATTTCAGATAAAGCAGCTACTGCATTTGCAACAACCTAAATACAAATGTTGAATAAAGAGATAAATATCACATTCTGTATAAATATTTAAATGATAAATCAGTTTGATCTAGTTACCATGGGATTACTGTCTGATAAAAGATCTTTTAATTGATCCAAAAATCCTTGGTCCTCGACTAGAGCTGCATTAATATCATAAAGCTTGGCCACGCAAACAGCTGCTGTCTTACGAACATATGGATCCTCATCCTTCAGACATTTTCGCAATGGCTCACACAGGTACTCAGTAATCTTGTCCACGCGTATACAACCCATTGTGCGAACTGCTAATGCTCGAATCAGCGGATTTGGGTCCTCGCAATCCTGCGCAAAAATCGGGCAAGCCAGGGATTCAAGTCTAGTCACAGCAGTGGCTATCTATTTCAACCCATGAACTTTAACGAAATAGAAAATGGTATGGTACCTTTGTCATCGGAGATGTCGCTAGCTCCTTTTGCGTGTCAGAACGAAAAAGGTCAAATTGGTCACCGTCACCATTTTGATTAATTGTTAAATATTATACTTATCAACCATTTAAAATAATATGATACAGAACTGATCATTTTCTAAAGAGCACGAGATATTCATCTTATAATTTTTCTATTTATAGCTTTTTCTTTTTAATAATAATTTACAAATTAAAATTAAATTAAAATTAACACAATTAATTTGGTGCCATGCACATAAGTATATGTTACATGATATTTATTCAAACATTAAAGAATACACATCAAAGTATTTATGATAACTGTATCATGAATTTCAACACTTATTACATGTATTAATTAACACGAAAGTTTTAGAAAAAATAAAATACTTTACGTGCAGATAGTGAAAGTATATGCACTGCACACAAGCAGCAATTTATGATGCAGTCATACATATAAAATAGACATTTAAGGAATTGGTTTGTTCATGCTGTTTATACATTAAACATCATGACTAAAAAATAGCTTCTTGATTCTACCACTGAAGCTGTTTTAAATATTTCTTTTCTTAAGACCAATTATATCTTTATTACAATATTCTAGCTGTGTTAATATTATACATCTTTCTACAAGCTGTTTAATGATATTTTTGTGATTTATAGAAAAAAATTACATGCTCATTTTTGGAAAACAGCATAAAGTATTAGTGCATTAATATTAAAAAAAATTAACACATATGTTATTGAATTCTTGATGTGATCTTTTTCACAATTTTGTAAGATGTTACAACTGTCAGAATTTCATTCCTGCTTTTAATGCTTAACTGAAAAGAAACTCTGGAATTTGGTGGTTACAAACCAAACTGATAAAAATTATTGATGTATTAATATACAGCTTAAAACATAGAATAATAAATGATATATATTTTATTCAACCAAATTCCAGTCTCGTGCCCTTTACAAAATAAGCAATTCAATAAGAAAAAAATACATTCCGTCCCATAATGCAGACAGCTCTGTGCAAACTGATGTAATTTGCAAAGCACAGTCTGTACATAGTGTGAGGCAGGCTGTAAAATTAACATTAAATTTACTTGAAAAAAGATGTGAAACATAAAGAAACAGCACATCAATTTTTTTCCAGCTTGCCTCTTTGCAGACAGATATTTTCAACATCATCCAGGTGTTATTAAAATATATAAAGGATAAAAGTGCATTAATAAAGTATGTAAGTTTTGCTTCAGTTACTAAGCTACATTACCTTAACAAATGTGTTGACAGCCATGATGGCCACATCTGGTTGACTCTTGGCATAATTCATCAGATACAAATACACCAATTTTTTAAGCTCTAAATTGTCTGTCTGCATACAGTTGACAACATCAGGGAAAAGTGCTGATACATCTTTGCCCACAGTCATGGAAGCAATTACCTGCACACAGTTAATATTATGTTTAAACAGCTACTTAATAAATTAATTTATCTGTTTTACAGTAACTACAAATAAAGATGAGCAATTACAGTAAAAATAAATTATTTTTTAAGTAAATTGTAAAAGTATTAATGATTTACAAACATATTAACAAAATACTGCATAAAGTAGTGATTTTAAGTTTAATAACATCAGGCATTTTGAAAAATATAAAATTAAAATATAATATATAGTGGTAGTGACAATATTAAAATTTGTCAGTAATAAAAAAGTTTATCATGTGCTCTTAACTATCCTGTTTTTGAGCAGCATGAAACAAATGCATTGATTTGGTATTCAGAAACTGCAAATTTGTAAAGATAGTAACAATGCTCTGGAATAAATATTAAGTTTTAAACTATGAACAAAATAAAGAAAACCAGATTGTAAAAATCATATCGATGATTCAATGCACAAATATTTTATGTTCACTTTTAATATTTTTAAGAAAAGCAGATTCAAAGATTCAATAATACTTTGTATTACATTAAGTAAATACTTCGATTGTATTTATTATATTGTATATATAAACCAGCTATAATAGCGTGTTTACTGGAATTAAGAAACTTATAATAGACAAGATGTTATTATTAATTTATTTATAAAATAGACGTATATGAAAAATCAATTAAAAATTACTAGTTGTTTCCTACAAAAAACTATTTATTATATATATTGACAAAGAATATTTGTACATTGATTTATTAATAATTTGTATGCCTTACCTGCTGTAAACAAAAAATCATTACCTTTTAAAATCAGATTTTTGCTGCATAAAACTATACATTGATTGTTTACTGATAAAATAGAAATATTCCAATATTAAACAAAATTTATTACTTGGCTTATTTATAAATATATTTTACATAAATTATTTAGTAATTGCAATAGCTTAACTTAGTATCCATTACGATATTATTAATAAATGAACTCACTTTTTTTACAGCCTCCTTCTTCTTTTCCTTTTTGTCATTATTTAATTCAGATTTAAGTTCAAATATTTCTCCCTTTTTTGTAGTTGTGAAGTACTTTGAATCTGTCATTTTGGATTTTATATTTTATTAAATTCTGATGTAGATATTCTAATTTACACCCTAAAAAAGAAAGTTATAATTACGAGTCAGTATTATATAGCGTAGGAAAATTGAATAAGATTTCGCTATAGCAAACCATGAATGGATCAATGATCAGAATATATGTATAGTACCATTCTACTAACACCAACCAAGATACAAAACTCTAATAAAATTCTTTAAACTTTAATACCAAATAAGACTATTTCTCAATTTCAAGAGTATATGTCAAAATATTTAAAAATTGTAATTACTATATATCCATAAATTAAAAATATTAGTATACGAGAACCTTTTAGATTTTTACATTACGTATCCACTGTACCTTAATTGTAATTATTTTTAAACCTATTACAATGATTTGTTGAAAATATTATTTAACAACATTTTATTTTTAGATACCTTAGCTGTTGTGAACAGTTAAAAAGCGTACAAAATTATCAATTGACAGCACATTGACAGATTCCAACGCAAAACGCCCTCCAACCACAGACTAACCAGGGGTCGGAAACTGCCATTGAATTTTTAAGATATTTGTAGTTCGTAACAAAATCAAAATTTGATCAGATGGCGATAGTGATGTTATGATCAGCGTCACGTAGGGACGCAATCACGATTTAATTTACAGTAGTTCACACTTGACCATAGACATTGGTTTATTAGTATATACCCAGTGATCTTTTATTTCGTACTCTTCATGCTAATTTAGAAATTTGGGTATTTGAAATTTTAAAAAGTTAAAAATTTTTAAATTTAAGAATTTGAAAGTAGTCGAATAAACGAGTTATCACTTGGTCATATTTGTTCTATATCATCTTTTTTTTAATTCGCATATTTCTGTTCACCGTTTATATGGTCGAAGTGAAAAACATTTGGTAGTAGGGTAACACTAGCTGGCAGAGAGAGTACTGAAGTTAGGCGCATTATACAAAAAATTAAAGAGTTTTTGTGTTGGATAGTTATTGAAAAATTTCAATTTTTATTTTTAAATATTTACTTAATTTTTACAACGATATTAACAAAGTATTAAATAAACTGTGATAGGATGTAACTTTACGACTTTCATTATTTTTAACCGTAACTTTTCATTAAGTTAAAAAACGATTTACTAAAAAAATTGATGTGCAATATACATAACAAACGTAAGAAAATAATAATGCATTTCGCGAGCAAATATTACAAATGTAAAAGCGATTATAACTAAAAATTAACAGTATACAAGAATTTTTTAATTTTAATTTTACTGATAAGCGTAGCAGAGTTATTAAACAAATATTACATGAGATTTCGAAAGAACATGCTATTTTGTATTCATGCATGTTCATTCTTTGTAACAAGCAAGATAGCTACTTAGCCGGTTATAATTGTAATTATATTAACAATAATATTACAATAAATCGCAGAATAGATGATTCATTTAACATTTAACATATTTACGCTCTATTTGTATGCATTTAAAATTAAAAATATAATAAAAAAAATAAAAAAATTTTAACGGTTCATTGAGTATCTTATGATCATACGATCTTTTATCTTCCAGCAGTAATAACTCAAATTTAACGTAATTATATAATTACAATATACATTTATATAATAATGCTACGTCGAAGATATGAGTACATCACATTCAATTTATGATACTGTCGTGAGTCCAACAACTGTTGTTTTTAAAATATTTCAAGCAATATTACTGCAGTCTATAATACGTACTACTAGACTATACAATAGTATGTAACAAAATTAAAATCTGTTTTAATCTATCAGTCACTTGCATAATTTAAATTAGAATTATAATCAAGCTATTGTAAGCACGCTTGAACTTTTTCAATCCATTCTTGTGCAGTTGCTGCATCACCAGCACAAAAATTATATGTCCGTCTGTTTGTACGAAGCTGCAAATATAATCATCAATACAATTTCTGTTATTTTTTCAACAAGTGAAAAATAATAAAAACTATAACATTATTTTATACTTACATCAAAGAACGATTTATCATCTGTTTTCTTTGGTGGCCCTGGCATTGGTTGGGCTGGAGTTACAGATACTACTTCGGCTAAATCTATAACATGGAGAAAATTGATAGTATTTTTAAGTTTCTTTACGTATCGCTACGATTTTTAATTAATACACACCTATATATCCTTTACAATGAGAATCTTCCATTGCATCATAATACCTTAATTGATGTTTTATAGAATCTAACACAAACCATCTTTGTTTCCAACCTTTAAGTAGAGCACCTCGTTTGTATAGGTAGCCCTCGTGTGTTCTATTTTCAGCAACATTACTGGAGAATTGTTCGTAATATTGTTGTGAAGAAGTTTGTATTGTAGCAACGCCTATAACCAGTGAGTCAAATTAGTTACCACAAAATTCGTGTATTAATAAAATAAATAACTGCAATTTATAAACAAAGAATTACGTTAATGTATACTATGTTACACATACTTGAATTTACACTTCCATTATCACCACCGCTTCGTGTAAGTGTGTGAGTTTGTAAATTATCAGTTACTGTCTTATATTTTGTACAATTTTTTGGTACTGCATCAGCACACTTATCATGGCACACGTGACCACAATCAACACATCGTAAACCGGCTTTTACAGGACCCCATAATACACCGGAACAAGCATCGCAATGAGTTGGCGTTGCTGAATCTAATCTTTCAAATCTAAGAAAATATAAATAGATTTGTAAATATTTTTTAAGATAATTTGTTTTGTTTAAACAAAATACTGTAACAATTACCTATGTGGATGCGCATAAACGGAACCATCATTTCCAGAACTACTTCCACCAGCGAGTTTACCTCGTAAGAGTAATTCTAATGTAGATCGTTTATGAATCAGTCGACCATGATATCTAACTAATGCAGTACTGAATGAAGCATGTCGCTAAACATAAAAATAAATATATATTATCTTATGAATAAAAGAATGTTTTAAAGAACTTAATATATGTATATTTTACTAACAGCAAGTGAATCTGTATTTGGTAATTCCAGTTTATCCCAAAGAACTTTCCATTTTTGTGGTAAATGGCCCAATTCAGTTTCCAATTTATGAATCTCTTCCAAAAGATGAGAAAATTGATCGGGTACCATTGAACTTACACCGTCATACCTATCGTATGTTAATAGCATTAATAGCATTAATAAAACGATAAAGTAAATTAAATGAATATAGTCATACCCTTGTGTAACAACTTTCCGGTTACTTTTCACCACACCATCAGCAGCTTCTGCTTCTTCCTCTTGTTGTGAGTCTTGTTGTAATACTTCTAAGTCATATGCAGGCCCGTGAGCTAATTCTTCTTCTAAATAGTATTGCCAAATATCGAGACTTGGCAAATGTGATACAGGTCTTAATACCGTATTTTCCGTATTAGGAGTATACATGAAATTATAGAACAAGGGACATCTTGCATGTTGTTTTTCAATGTAATCAAATATGCTTTGACCAAGATTACATCCCTGATTTGTTCCTGCTAATCTACCTCCAGGGTAAATTGTTTCATCGTCGCTACCTGTATCTACACCTTTATGATGGCTTGTTAATGATCCCCTTTTGTCTTCTACGGCAGTAATACCACATTCTACTCTATCGAATTCACAGTCTAATAAAAATGTACGGAAACGACATGAAACCGAATGATATGCCAAAAATTTTAAGTAATATTCATTAAATTCAAACGCTAGTGGAAATTGCTTTTGAATTTGATGTATTATATCTAGGAACTGAAGAAAGGTTGGGGTAAAGTTTGTAGTTTGAGAGTTCGCTGCAAGATTACTTCGGTGCCCGAATCTGTGACCAAATCCAAGCCATTCTTTTTCGATCAAAACTCGAAAACCTTCAATAGTTCTATAATGAGGATCAAGACATACTTGAGCAACAGAACATACTGTTGCTGTGGTATCCCAACCCTCCTCTAAACAAACAGCTACTGATGAGCCTTGAACATCCATTAAATCTATAACAGCCCCAGCTAATTGCATTAAACTTTGAAGCTGTTGTAACCATTCTGAACTTTCAATTAATCTAGAATTATAAATATTGTCTGTTAGAAAATTTTATAACCAATAAAATTACATTCTTTTAGATAAATTGTGCATACTTATAAAAACTTTGGTCAGGCTCTACATTTGGAGAGCTAGGAACGCAGGCTCGCATAAGTTTTTTAAATGCAGCTCTGGTATGTCTTACATCACAGTATTCCACTGAAATGAAATCTGTTTTTGGTGCTGATTCTGCTTTTACTCCCTTTTATTAAAAAAAATAAATTTATTATAATAAAATTGTAATTATATATTTAGAATAAAGTAAAAATTAGTCATCTTACTTTCATATGTGCCTTTTCACCAAGAATGTATAATGCAGCACGTTGAAAAGTATGAACACATTCGGTACCGCTATCCGAATCTGTAGAATGCCTTACAGTTCCACGTTGATGAACTGAAGTCAACGAAGCTTGAGAATTATGTCTTTTATCTTTCAGTGATCCCCAGCGACCAAAGTTCTTAGGCCCCTTACCTCCTGATGAACTATAAACATATAAATAAGCTATTTAATTAAGTTGTCGCACATTCTGTAAAAGTTTAAACATAATATTAAGATATATGTACCTCAATGTTCCAATTGCTTTATTAAACGGATTACGTCGTGATTGTTCAGGTGTTGCATTACGATCCTCAGCCGCTAACAACAAAGAATCAATACTAAGAGAACTGTCCGACATTCCCCATGCAGAACCTTGTCTTATTGCGGACAATGGAGTTGCAGATACAAGAGCCATAATATATTTTTCTTGCTCTAAAGACGATGTTGTTTCTGAAGATGTTGCTATTAATATAAAACAACTAATGTAATATATTATGAAAAAAATAAAAAATAAAAATATAAAAGTAATTAGTAGGATCAATACTTTTTAGGTTACCAGCAGATGCTGGATGAGCTTTCAGCATGCCCATAACACCCTTCCCATGATAACCTGCTCCTCTAATTAAAAGAGCTTTTGTTCTTGAATGTCTCCATGTAACAACAGGTATCCTATTATGTCTATAAAGCCGACAAAATCTACGAATACTTTCATCTGATACTGACGAAGGAACTATAAGTAGTGCGGGATAACTTCTACAAATCATGTAGGCACAATTCACAGATGATAATCGAAATGGTTCATTTCTACGATTATTATGTGGTCCATTTAAATACAATCCCAGTCGATACCAATCTCTAACGTAACTACGTTCTGATAATCGTTCTAATGTTTTTGCATCAGTTGGTGGTTGAGTTACAATACCAGGAATTTCAAAATCATCTACTGCAAAAATGTCACTTAAATACATTTCAAAATGTGAAACAATTTTTTTAACATATTTCATATTAAAAATGTACTAATATACTAAAGTTATGTACATCTTTGACTTACCACTAAGATCATCATCGTGACTTAAATCATTGTTATCTGTTACTGGTAAACTCATTCTACCAGGTGATGTCATGTATTTATTATTAGTAATAATATTCATATTTGGCAAGACG